ATAGCTTAATAGCCGCAAAAAATCATCGTAACTTTATAAGAATATTTTGAATGGGAAATATTATGTCCCTTAAGTGCTGTTAAGGTAAGTTTTGTTGATGTAGATAATATCTGTTTATATAAAAAATATTATTATATATTTTTTTACTTATGAAACCAGATATACTTTTTTACTTATGAAGCAAAAAAAAAGGAAAGCCTAACTCACGCTACAGGAGAAGCACCTTTTTCAATTATATCGCTAATAAACTAATGCTGTTACATCTATACATAAAAAATCTCCCTGTTAGTCGCATCGAAGCAACATCAACTGCACTTTTTATACCGCTCTATGCCCGATTAGACCCACATCCAGACCTTTATTCCTTTACTCTCACGCTTTTTCGAACTTATCAGCCATCCGTTTCAGATTTTCGTCCGTTTCTAGCCGTGTTTCATCCAGATTTTCCACGTTTCTTGGTGTGCACTTCACGGTGTTGCATGCGCGGCTTTGTTTTTCGCGCGATCCAGTCCGGAAAAGGATCAAACCGATCGGATACATACACACCTTTTCCCGTTTCCGGTGAGTTGGATTTTCGGCGCTGGATACGAATCCGGGGGCTTTGTTGTTAATTCGGGATCGGGTGGTTAGCACAGTTCGTCGGGCGACGATGATTGCATTTTCTGGATTATTCGCAAAGCGACAAAGTTGCGCGGATTTAGAGTGCACCCGGTGCATCCGAATCGGTTGTCAAAGCTGGATGCAGTGTTTCCAGTTATAATATTGACAATGGAGATTTTTTTTCTAGATGATACGGCTAACTTTGTATGGTCTGAAATGAAGTGAAGTGAGTTTTTTTTTTTCAATCTTGTAGTACAGACAAATTATTTTTGTTTACATTTCAATTCAAGCATTTTTTTGTATTTCAATATCTTTCGAGATTTGAATATACTACTGTTAGATACAAAAATAAACGCAACGGAGAAAATTTTGTTCAATTTTAAAGTGTTATTATTTTTGTTATGTTTAGCCCTATTTTCATGAATTTTTTAGCAAGCTGTACATAATTATATCAACCTTAATTATTCGTAAACTAAATTTTTTATAAACTTTAGTATTTGGCGTATTATACAGGGTTAATCGAGGGGTTGTTTTTATTTTCTAACTTCAAAACACCCTGTGCAATAATTTCGTGTGGGAACTGTCCTAAAATATAATTTTACCCTGTGCAGTAATTACGATCAATTTGCAATTTTTTCAATTACCATTACTTTTTGATGTAATTTTTTAATATCACGAGATAGTTTTTGATGACTATTGTCATAACGTCATATTACGCTGCATTAATGGATACTGTATAATAAATTAAAAATAAACGTTAAATACTAAAGATACAGTCCTGGTTTTAATAACGATAAGAGAACTAACGATATTAAAGAAAACATCTTTAATAATCAAGTATACAAACAGAAAAAAATTGTAAAGAATAACCTAATAAATTGTATTGCCTCCCTTTGGCTGTTATAACCGCCTGTATACAGGGTTTTTTCAAAAAATCCAAAAACACGTCAATTTTGTTTGTGAGGAGGACAACTTTTGACCCAAAAACGATTGCAAAATCTTCAACCCTCTAAGCGGGGGTGTCATCCCCCAACTTTTTTCAAATGGGAAGGGGATCAAGTGGCGCCGCAATGAAAAGAGCTGTCTATTCTCTATATTTCCTCGCCTCGTTTTTTAAAATCGGTCTAGTCATTGAGAAAATATGAAGGATTGAAATTTGAAAAGTTTATTTAAACATTTATCAGAGTAAATGATAAGGATAAATTCCTTCAACAACAACAAACAAAATTGACGTGCTTTTGGATTTTTTGAAAAAAGAATACCCTAGCCGTTATGCCTTGCGGAACGTTTTCGATAGGCCACCCTGTACTTCCGTTCATATTATCATTGAGGCTGCATATATCATATTGCGATATGTTTTCTCATTCTTCTTTAAGGACCAAACGAAGTTCATTTAATAAAGCTGGTAGCTCTTCGCGACCCCTAAACCTCCTGCCAAGCATTTCCGAAACGTCGAACATGATGGACAGTTCATAGTAGTATATAGTTCACAATAATCACCAAAACCGCCTTGTCATATTGAAAAACAACTTCAAAAAGAAATGATAATTGAAAAAATTGCAAATTGTTGATGGCAAGTTCATTTCGGCTTTAAAAATTAACCAAGGCATATATTGACATAATTCAAAAAACAAAATGCTCAGGAGACATGGTTCTGACCGTAAAATTATATTTTAGGAAAATTTGCACGCGAAATTATTGCACAGGCTGTTTTAAAGTTATGGTAAAAAACAACCAAATGGGAGGAGGGTTAATCACCCCGACCTTAGAGATCTATTGTATCCCTCTTCTTGAGTTATAACTCATCATAATATAGTCTCAGGGCTTTGACTAAAGACAGTAACTGAGACGGTTTTATAGAGGTTAGTTCTCCATCTCCGAAATCAGTCGTGCCAAAATTCATGGCATATCATGGCAAAATATGTAATTTATTAAAGTAGGTAATTTTTATTTTAATTTTATTAATTATGATTAATAAAATTGCGTTTATTTCATCATGATCAAGAGATAATTTTTAATTCACATTAAACGGCCTACACAATTTTGATATCAAAAGAAAAAAGGCAGTGGCGCAAATGTTTTTGGATAGGCCAGTTTTTGAAAAATATTATACTGATAACCCATATGCACGTCCCTGATGAATATGTCGACACTTTTTTAGCATTAAAATATATATTAAATTAACTTATTTACCCTCAAAATTTCATTCGAATCACTAAAAGTACTTGGAAAAAAATAATAATAAATCGAAAAAATATTAAGACTTTAACACCCTGTAGCTACGAAAAAAGCAGAGTCGGACCTACGTTGATGTGAAAAATAAATCTTATTTTGACGTGAGGAATCTCCCCACGAGAGATGGCACATGTTTTTTGAAATACCCTGTATATTGCTAGACTTTTTATAACCACCTTTTATTTCCGACATGTATATAAAATATTTAGGTAAAAGTGTGGATCCGGTGGCTGACCTTGAAGCCCATATTTGCTGCTTTTGATCATCGATACTACGCAAGCGCACATCGTCGATGTTGCCAAATTACAGTTTATTTTCGAATTATTTGCAGTTGAAAATTTTTTTTGCGTGTTAATCAATAATAATACAAATTCTATAATTAATTTTATAATTTCAGATTTATCTTGATATCCAAAATTAAGGTAAGAAGAATAATGAAGATTGTGAAATGAAAGTATTATGAATATATAAAATTGTAATAATAATAACATTTAGTTATATATTTACATTAGAATTAAAATTTATCATTTATGGATTTTTTCTTAATGGTTTTAAACTTATTAGAATTATTTTATTTCTTTTCATTAAAAGTTATTTAATTTCTAGTTATTTACAGGCAACAATAGTTTTGATTATATGTATTGATGTTTTGAAGTACTACCATGACGGGTCTTATTATAGAACAATAAACGTCAATCGGAGATAGAGGTAACACTAATGGGCTACCCTGTATATTTAAACAGAAAATAATTCTAATACTATAGTTGCTGTTTAGGAAAATATTCTTAAATAGTAAATATATATTAATGCCATAAATTTGTTTCATAGACCTTTAAAAAAATTGTAAATAATCTTCTACATACATAACCTTACATAAACTAAATTTAAACAATAACACATTATATAATACTGGAAATGTTCGAAAATAGACAAGACTATGTGGAAAGTTTGATTATTTTTCCGATTCACACTCTACATTCTATTTTCGTAGACATAATTGTTGTTGGTTGTAATAGAAGCTGCTAATATGCTTTCTCAATAACCTTGCATTGTTAAAGGTCAGTAATTCGCTTGTAACAATAATCTTATGTTATTTTTTTTAACCTTGTCTGGTGTTAAAAAAAGTGATGCAAAAATTCATGGTCAAAAATTCAATAATTCTTTTTATAATTTACATACAATATCAATAATTCAATAATATATTTATGTTGTTTGGTTGATTGAAAATTCATTTCCTAGATTATTTTTGGAACTTGTCAATGACAAAAATGCATTCAAGTTTCGTTTTAGATTTATTATGACATTTAAGAAATCCCTTAACCCAGTTGTGAATGTCAAGTTTTAAAAAGACAAAATCATTGTTGATAATAATATCTACAGGGTGATAATGAAAAAGCTTGATAATTTCAATCCAGTAATTTTATAAATAGTGCGAGCAATAATAGAGTACAATTTAAAAACGTTTTCTTAAATATAGAGGCCGAATCAAATATATTTTTACACCACAGCTGTAGCTTTTTTCAATAGAAAGTTGTTTTTCTTTCACTCTTTCGCTGCATTACATATATTTATAAAAATGATTTTTTTCGATCACCCTGTATATTTACAAATACTTTTTTATGTCAAAGTATCTGAAGAATTGCCTTTAAGTTACTGGACATATTTAAGGATCGCTCTGTATCTCTGTATAAATATGTAAATATTTTTTGTAGAGGACATCCAGTCTATAAATATATACAGTATGTCCACTGATGGTCTTAACAAAACGAAAATATACCGGGTGTTTCTCAAAAGTGGCTCACCCCTATAACTTTTTTATTTTTTCAGATAAAAAAACGACAGTTGGTTTGTTAGTTATATGACATAAATAAGGATTGATTGACGTATTCAATTTTCTTCTTTTACTTCCTGTTTCACTATAAGTGACCACAACTTTTGATTTTTAAATGGCACCCTTGGTATTTTTTTACTTTATTCGATAACAAATGATACTCTGGGTATTATCACATGTCAACTTTTGACACTTTCGCTTTAAAAAAATCGTATTTTAAATTTCAATCTAGAATGCTATCGCTGTGTTAAAAACACTAACTTTTAATTAAGGAGCCTTAGGAAAATAGTTTTGATCATCTAATGTCTCTCGTGTCTTGTCCTGGCTGGTTAAAAGATGCCCTAATTTTATTTTTAATCATATCTCAGTTTTTTCAAATGGAACAATGAGCTCATTAGTATATTTGGAAAAAAAAACATTTTTTCACGAATATGTATCTATTTGATTTTGTTATGAATATACAAATATACTAATGTACCAAATCTCGTTTTTTGTCTGAAAAAATAAGAAAGTTATAGGTGTGAGCCACTTTTGAGAAACACCCGGTATATTATTAACATTTCGAAAAAAATGCATTCTTTATATGTTTTTTTGGGTATTCTAATATAATTAATTCCGCTAATACTTTTTCAATTTCAAAAATTTCAAAAAATGTCTTTTTTTTTATTTCAAACTGATAATAAAAATGTTTTTTCTCTTATAAAGACGATCCGGGGACATACTGTACAGTTCGATATCGACCTTGTCTGATTGTTACGCAAACTGATATCAAAAATTCAGGGTTAAAGACACATTAAATTATATTAATTTTAATACAATAGGGATATAGTATTATATTGGTAGTTCCTAAAAGCTTCCTGTGTATCTTTTTAGAAATTATCAATGAGAAATGCATTTATATTGTCAACAAGTTCCATTGTGACAGTAAGGACAGTCCTTAACCCAGTTAAAAATTATCAATTTATAGGAAGTGAATAATGTTTTAAGTCTGTTTTAGTTATAAGAAAGTTAAATATCTGTCAAATATTTTAAAGCTTTTTCTTATAAAATATCGCAAATATTGCTCTTTTTATGTCCTATAAATATCAAATAATTTAATATTTGTATTAAATTCTCTAGAACATCAAACACTGAAAGGCATTTTTGTGACTTTTCTAAGACTATTTAATACAGTAATTATTAAATAATCTTATAACAAACCCAAAAAAACCGTAAATTTACAGAAAATTAAATAAATAGTACCTATCAACAACACATATATAGGTAATACAATATAATAATAATTAGAGACTGAATAAAGTAATAATTAAAATAGTAATTTCAATAACTTGGACAAAATGTTTAACGAGTTTTTTTTGTGTGTGTATTTGAATATTTATCTCCAATTATTATTTTTTACTTGCACGTATAGAATTACCGACCAAAAACAAATATTGTTTAAAACTAAACTTATATACCTGCCATTTAGTATCGTTTACTAAAAGATTTTTTTTATTTGTTCCGCAGTATTGATTCATTTGTCAATTTTTTTTACGTATTTTTATTTTTTTATTTCCATTGTATTCTATTTGTAACCTTCTTGTTTCTTTCAACTGGATTGGTTTTGTTCTATGAGAGTCCTACATTTTTACCTACAAATTACCAAAAAATACTTCTTAATCATTACAAAACTAATTTATCTTGATAAATAATTTTAGAATATTATTACCTACTCTATAACATAAATAGAAAAACCTTTCTGTACTACACAAAATCGGCCACCTTAAAAAAAATTTAATGTATTTTTAAGTTTAATATATTTTGTTCTAGTTGGCCGATTTTGATGATTTTTTAAGCAGTATGTATCTCTTTCTAAATTAAAAATGAAAGTTCGCATCTTTCTATTATACGAGGGAAAACAAAATGTTGATATTTTGGTAAAAGTTTGAAACGCCCTGTGGAATATGTTAACAAAGCAAGGAATTTAAAAATTAATTTATTTTCTAGGTACATATCTTTTTTCCCTAGTTTGTTTTTTGATTCATCTCAATAGCTTGAGTGTTATTCGAAGTATTCGTTTTTGAATAAGACAGTAACGATTTAGAGCAATTTTAGCATACCTTTGCTTTTGGGCCATCGACCCATTTATAATAGAGTAAGATCCCAGAGCGATCAGACATAACTTATTTTCACTAAGATGAAACCTTAGGTAGTGCTCTCATGTGCTGATTTTTACATATGTTATTAAGACAGCTATTATAAAGATATATTTAATCAGTCAGACAGATTGTAATGACCAAACATCCTCTAAACACAAAAAATATTCAGCCGTGACTATGAGCGCGGGGGAACTATGCGTTTCCCGAGTAAAGTATTTAAATATTTTAAAAATACTGCTTTCGATTTAATATTTTTGCATACTTATGGACAATAATACATACTTATGGAGCCGATCGGCCGACTATTTGATTGCATGTGAGCACGGCTCCATAAGAATTATATTGTTTACAAATCTGCAACTAAATAGTTGGCCGACTAAGAATTGCATGTTTGCCCAGGCTTAGTTTCCAATATTTCCTCTTACCAAACTATTTAAAAACGTAAGTCAGAGAATTCAAGGTGTCTTAGGTGTCTTGTGTTTCAAATTAATATTTTTTTTAGAAAATATGCCATAATTGTTTTGAGTAGTTTATATTCAATAAATTAATTTACTTTGATAATTATTAATTATTACTTTAAAAAACAGTAGTTAAATAGAGATGCAAAAATATTAAATCGAAAGCAGTAAGTATTTTTAAAATATTTAAATACTTTACTCGGAAATAGGGAATGCCATCCCGTCAATGCTGGATCCCGCAAATGCGGGATCCCTCTTAGATTCCGCGGGATCGAAGTTGCGGGATTTATCATGGGGAATCCGCGGGATTGGCACATTACTACTGGGTAACCGAATCGATCTCGATCAAGGTCAAACCCCTTCATTCCGGACCGATGAGTCGACGCTCGAAACCCGGGGGACCCGTTTAACTAGTACTTGTGGACAATTTCGTCAAATAAACTGCCGGACATTATTATCGGCACAAGCAAAATTTTAGGGTAAATTTAAAGTTGAATATCTCTTGAACTAAAAAAGATTTTGGAATGCGGTTTGGACCAGGTTTTAGATGCATCTATTGTGATTAAGTTGCTATTGGTTTTCGAAAATATATTTAGCGAATTCTCATATACATTATAAGAGAGTAAAAATTTGGTCATGAATCTTTTTACCGCAAATTTACGAGTTTTAAAAAATCGAAATTTTTACCAAGTACGACTAATCTGTATTGAAATTAGAAAAAAACAATTTGATCGATTTTTTAATTTTTTTTATTATAAGGAAAATTGACTTTTTTCTAAAAATATGCATTTTTAGTCATATATATGGTCCTAAGTGGTACAAAAAGTTTTGTACATTCTCCATATGCCAAAAAATTATTGATATAGAGTGTATCTAAAAGCAGATAACTAACACAAGTTAAAAAACTTCAACATAATATAATTAATAATATTTTTATTTATAAATTAAGTAGATAAATTGTAATAAAATTTAAGTTTATTTAATATTAAATATATTTTTTGAACACCCTGTATAAATCGGTCCAAATTTCTGTATAGCTAGTTTAAGATACACGCTATATCAATATATTGTGGGCCTATGCAAAATGTACAATGCTTTTTGTACCATTTAGGACCAAATGTATGACTATTGCTTACAGTCCCGCAGTTTTGCGGATCCGCGGGATTGATTATTTTAATCCCGCGGGTTTGCGGGATTGAGATTGTGGTGCGGGATTGCATTCCCTACTCGGAAACCCATAGTTCTCCCGCGCTCATAGTCACAGTTGAATAATATTTTGTGTTTAGAGGATGTTTGGTCGTTACAAATTGTCTGACTGATTAAATATAACTTTATAATAGCTGACTTAATAACATATGTAAAAATCAGACATGTAAAAATAAGTAAAGTTCATTTATTTCTTTTAGTTACCTTTCTCATTTGGTATCTGCCAAGGTTTCACAGGGCGAACCCCACACAAACACACCGGTATTCAAAGCACATGAGAACACTACTGAGAGCCTAAGGTTTCATCCTTGTAAAAATAAGTTATGTCTGATCGCTCTGAAATCTTACTTTAATAGGAAGAGACACTAAAAAGTCAAGTAGTTTAGCTACAAATTGCTTAAACATTTATCAAACATTTATCAAACATTTATCAAACATTTATCAATCTCGGTCCTCTAAAACACAACAAATAAAACTTTAAAATATATCAAAATTTTATTGTGCCCGTTTTTCGTGCCAGTAAGTGTATATTTGTTAGTCTAATTTTTATACGTGACATGCTTTTACCCCTCTGATTTGTACAGATGTCTTAAAAAAATCTTCCTCCTTTTTGACATATGCAGTCGCCTTCGAGTTGTTCTTCAATCCAATGAAGATAGTTAGCTACTTTGGTGTAGATTCCTGGCAAGTTTGGTCTGGCACATCCTCTACCCCATGACACGACACCTGGCGCCAAACACAAACAACAATAATTATTTTTTTTTGTTTACGAAGAATCACTCAAAATAAATATATCATTCATAATTACCAATGATTTCCATATCACCCAGGCTGTTGCTGAGTTGCAAAGGACCACCGCTATCTCCCTTAAAAGAAAAATATGAATAAAAAATAAAAATGTATGTTAAACAGCGGCGTGCGGTGCATGGAAGCGGGGGAAGCACCGCTTCCCTAAACTTTTTAAAGATAAAAAAAATAAATAGTTAAACGTTAATAATACTGTTACTTTATAACAAAAGATTAATTTAATTTGTTAAAATTATTTATTTGAAACCTTACATAAACGTAGTAAATTTAATTAGCCTTTTACCGCATGGATGCGCGCCTGGAAATCGCCGCCGGTCGCCTATCCCTCCTTCATGTAGGTGTTATTGACCTCGAACGCAAACGACAAATTTAATAATAATAAGGCCGCCTTCCTCGACTTGTGGACAATAATTTCGACTGTGTTTGTGATGTATGCGTGTTTAAAAGTAATGTCTCGAAATAGGGTTTTTTACCGATTCGCTTCCCCGCCTATAATTGTCACCGCACGCCGCTGATGTTAAATTTATTTTCATTTACTTGACATGCGTCAATTTGTCCTTCGACGTAGCCGGCGCAAAACATATTTTCGGAAATCTTCCTTTCACCGTATCCGGAGTTGTAGCATTCCTGTTTGCTCCAGACTGGAACGGCGACTTTCCTGAGGACGTCGGAAGTGTCACCGCGTTCTTCTGTTTTGCCCCATCCTGCGATTATGCCGACTCTACCACTGTAATCTACAAAATCTACAAAAAAAGAAATCAAATCAAATTACATCAAAAACATCGACTATGTTTTTCTTTTTATACTTTGAAAAAAAGATTGGTAGACACTCAAAAAAATTCACTCCAAGTATGAGCTTTTAATTTGAATAGGAAGGTCCTGTGCCTTTCAGTTTTCTATTATTTGGAAAAAATATCTCGTCTCACATATTTATAGGAAATTGAATTCTCTACAAAAAAGGTCTCTCACAATTTTTTCGTAAACCTCACTCTTCGAAAGTTATTAAAGGTTGAAGTTTAATTATTTTAGTGCAGATTTCTTTTTTCTCGTGAATTTTATAACGCGTTAACAAAAAATCATCATGATACGAGCAACTCATGGTTTTGTGGTAAATTCACTGCTCTACAAAAAAGGTTTCTTATGATTAGTCGATTAAATTGACCGTTTAAAAAATATTCATCGTCAAACTTCAAGGCACAATAATTTTAAGTTTTTGATTAATATTTCGAAAACAATTCCAATTTATTTTTTGAATTTCGGGAAAATTTGTACAAATTTGAGTGTCTATGAACAAAGAAATGTTTTAAACTTTTGTTGTTATGTTTGGGTACATTGAAACAAAAAATTATTGCATTTTTTCTAACATAGTTTTCCAAATAGTGGATACCGAGATATGAATTTTTCTTTCTAATAATAAGAAAAAAATAGAAAACTGAAAGGCAGAGGACCTTCATTCATCGGCAGATGATTAAAACTGTTTTAATCATGTGTTGTCCAGTGCAAAAGTAAATTGTTTTGGTGTGTTGTAGTGAATTAGTGTTTTATTTTCCTGTTGTAACATTAAACGTTCCAACCACTAACTGTAATACTCGAAGAAATTTCTCAGAACGACCGAGAGAAATCAAAGAGTTTCCTTGATTTAAGTAAGAACAATCTTCGGTAATCTCAGTAAATTGAAGCTAAGTATAGTGTACCCATTGTTGCTCGATATACAGGATGAGTTTTAAATAAGTGAAAATATTTTTAGGGGTAGCATATTTCGGCCCAAGAAACGCGATTATAATTTTTTTTTTCGAAAATTTGGAATTTTTTGAAAAAATTTTTGGATATACTTTTAGTTAAAAAACATAATTTCTTGATAATATGGCAACATGGTTAATAGATTAGATTTACAAAAAAGAAAACCAAGAAAAGATCCGTGGTTCTCAAAATTTAAGCAAAAAAAAAATTTTTGGAAATTTTCAAAATAAAATAACTCTGTTATTTTGGACTTATTTGAAAAACGGTAAAGAGAAAATATGTTTATTTTCTCGAGATCTACCAGCCCTGAAAATATTTGCACTTATTTAAAAAGACTCACTGATATGTATTATTACTTACGGTACAATGTATTATTACTTACACGGTAGTAGCGTAACGCGCGTCCAGTGTAAAAGTAAAAGTGCTTTGGTGTATTGTGGTGATTTAGTGTTTTATTTTGCTATGTAACACCAAAGGTTCCAACCCCCAACTGTAACTTTTTATATTGATACATTAGAAATTGTTAAAAAAATTATTTGTGACATTGAAGAATGAACTTTTTTTGTGCCTCGCTTTGGAGCACAAAGTCAAATTTACAGCCTCGCCACCAGAGGTATCATTTTTACTCCTAATAAAACAATGCACTAGTGTTTAGTATAGTAAATAGTAAATTTTGACAGATCCTCGGAAGTATCCAATCAAAAAAATATATTTTAAACCTTCTATGTTACTTACCGGCATTTGGCAGGCATACAGGATTCATTTTGTCACTGAAACTGATCGGTATGTCCATTTCCAATATGGCGATGTCGTTGTTGTACGTGGACACGTCAAAATGTTCGTGCTTTTTGACAGATCTCAGTCTCCTCACCTCTATGTGATTGAATCGGTCTGCTGATGTCCGGTCATGGTCGCCAAGCGTCACTGATAGGTCCCTTACGTCAAATCTAATTGCATAATATGTATCAATTACATTGGACACATTCTCTATTTATATAAGATAAAAATATATATATACATATATATATATATATATATATATATATATATATATATATATATATATATATATATAATTTCGAAAAATCGAAAGTAGAGAAAAAATTTAAAAAAAAAACTAAAAAGTAAAAAGAAAATTGTTTTGCTTGTCGTAAAGGGGGGAACCAAGCTCCACTCCCACAACCGGTTTCTGGGCCTACCCTTCATCAGGTGGGCTGTCCAGGGGCTGGTTCTCACCGATACGGCAAGCAAAACTTCTTCTATATCTACAGACGATGTCGTAAAGTGTCGGTGAGATATTAATGCATCTCCCGTCAAAAGATGGTAAAAGCGTTTTTCAAATGAACAGACAACAGATGGACCACCAAAAATACAGCATTTAATAGCATGGTACCCACGAGGAATCAAGACCTAGAGGAAGACCAAACTTGAGATAGGACCATGATATTAGAATTAGCAGGGATAAATTAGAACCGCATAGCCAACAATTGGCCCAACTTCAAAGAAAGTATCTAAATATGTGAGGGAGACTACATCATAATTGGAAATGGTTGAATAAGCTAAAAATGATGATGATGATGAAACATCGATCTCATCTAAGTTACTGCCAGTTGCAGTCATCAGAGCTGCTAAAAAATCAATCAAAGTCCTAAGTCATATGTAAATTCAAAAAGATTTAAATCTTAAAGCAGTTTCAACATAAAGTTCAATTGATTTAGTACTTGTCTTAAATCATTTTCTTTCAAGTCATTTCGTGGTAGTTTCGAGTACCCGTAATACACATTAGTGATATCCCCGTTCTGAACCCTAGTGGTTATATCACAATCTCTAGATTCGAGTTCTTTACAAAAGATATATCCGTGTTGCAGTTACTAAGCTAGAAATCTATGGTATTTCTAGAAAATTTTAAAATAAGAATATTTAGACTTTACTTCTTATTTCATTAAAATTACTATCACGGAAATTACCAAAAAAAAAACATGGTCATATTTACCCATTCACACAATGTGCTGCAGTTATCAGATGTTTTCTGGATATAAGAGCAGCTCCACAGTGGTACTCTCCACCGTGGCTCAATCCAGCGATCCAAGGGAATTCGTGCAATCTTGTAATGTTTCCTCCCACTACCCGCATCTGTCTTCTGACCATTCCGCAATCTACAAGAAAAAAACCATCTGTCAACAAATTAGTGATGGGTTGTTATTTAACTATCTGTTATTTTATAACAATTATTTATAAATAACATAACGCAACCGTTACTACTTCTAAAAAATAACAGATATAAAATAACGACACGTAGAGATCGGCCGCTCGTGAAAGGAAAAACGAAGTTGGCGCTCTGCATCACCTCGAAATTCTATGCTGCTCGAAGCAATTCCAAAAAACAACTAGTATGGATGGAAAACATGTTATTTCGTCAACCATCGATACAGGCGGCGAGACAACGGACAACGGAGTGACGAAAGCGCTACGACGAACGTAGCTGCTTCGGTCGATACCGATACCGTCAATGGTCGTATTTACAACAGCTTAAAAATAATAGGATATAAAAGAAGCAGGTTTTTTGAAACAGTTGCGGGCATAACGCCTGGCGGTGGAGATAACAGGAGTGGGAAAGGAACGCTGCTGCATCGGTCGATTGTCGATGGAGGCTCGCAACGGGTTGGAGAAGCAGTCATTTTAGATATGTTGTTTTTCAACCTGTTACAAGCATAACAGGGCGGCGGACGAGATAATAGGTGTGGAAAAGGAACGCTGCTGCATCGGTCGATTGTCGATGGAGGTTCGAAACAGGTTGGGGAATAACGCATCAGTTGTTTTAGATACATTCTGTTTCAACCTGTTACAAGCATAACGGACGGAGGTCGAGATATTATGGCGCTGTATGTTTCAGTACTTACTTATTAAGTTTCAATATTTAGGTATATATTTATTCTGAAAAATTTTCAGAATAATATTTTAAGATTTTTAAAAATGTATACAGGGTGTTTTTGAAAAATCTGGTCATTGATTAATCACGATCCTGCTTAAAGCCCTTGACGTAAAAAAGCTGATTTTTGGAAAACGGATTGACTTTAGTGTGTAGAGGTTCGATAAGAAGGGATTTTTCGAAACTCGAATTCTAAGGGGGTGAAACTACTCTGAAGTATTAGAATATTTTTATTTAAAACCGGTGAGTTTTTCGGAAAAACTCTTAAAACACGTATATTTTAATATGTTGTTTTACATATTTTAGAGATTTTTAAAATATATACAGGGTGTTTCATAAAATATAACCATTGAGTAATCACTATTCTGCTTAAACTGCTGGACGTTTAAAGCTGATTTTTGCAAACGGATTGACTGTGGGGTTGAGGTTCGATAAGGAGGGGTTTCTCGAATCTCAAATTCCAACAGGGGTGAAAACGCCCCTCAAATATTACAAAATTTGTTATTTAAAAACGGTTAGTCTTTCGGGAAAAACGCCTGGACACGCATAATTTATTTTGTTTTTTTTTTTTACATATTTTGAAATTTTTAAAAAATCATACAGGGTGTTCCAAAAAGTTGAGTAATTGATTAACCACGATTCTGCTTTAAACTGCTCGACGTTAGAAAGCTTATTTTTGGCAAATGTGAGAAAATTTTATCCAGTTTGTATGTTAATGGAAATTCTTGTTTTGCTTTATCATCACCATTAGAAATTATAAATTCGACGCGAACGAAGTCGCGGGTACACGCTAGTTTAAGTGTAAAATTAATTCGAACTCGAACTTTCGAAGTGTGTAGTTGGTTTACTTATGAAGAATATACTACACATTTTCTTATACTGCTATTTTTTGACCGCAAATGGTAAAATCATAACTAAGAGCTTCTCGCCCGTCGAGTGAGATACACCCTGTACACTGCTACGCAATTCAGGATCTAGGGCGTAGGTATATACTATAGACGAGTGGCCGAATTTTGGCTTTTTTTATATCGCAATTTGTAAACAGCGCTTATTTGTAAATAACCACCGTTTTTAGAGAGGTATTTTAGATAACAATCGATATTTAGAAATGTTTTGACACCCTGGAAATACTACCACCGAACACGTCATTGTTGCAACTTGCAACTGCGTTAATACGCCTGGCGATGACCGTCTCCATACTCTTTCAGATATTTAGCAGTAAAATAAAGAAACCTGTTATTTTTAAGCTGTTATTTTAAGCTGTTTTTTATAAATAACTATAACAGTTTCAACTGTTATCTAAAAATAACAGTTTTGCCCATCACTACAACAAATGTAATTTGTTGTTGGTTATAATAGAATAGAATGGCAAAATAAAACACTAGGTCACCACAATATACCAAAACACACAAATCATCAGCAGCTGATTAGAACTAAACTAATATCTACAAATGGAGCGTTTATATAGGCGCTCAGTTGGCGCCGACCAAGCGTGGCAGAACTAGCCAAGAGAATCAAAAGCAACCGATTTAATAATTAATTACCGAAACTGGAGCAATAGGAACAGGAAACTGGAGGAATTAGACTTTCATATGCATCAAATTGCCTGTAATTTGCGTCTTGTTTAATTATTAATATCTTATACAATGATCTTTATCGCCTGAATGTTAATATGCTGAGCATCGCAAGATTTATCCGGTCTACCATATGTTATCTGAGTCATATGTTCTTTAACTCTACTTAATATACAGGGTGGTCCGAACTGTATTCCGGAAACTTCAGCAGCATATTCTGCAGACAAAAATAAGTAAAAAAGTCCGTATAAATGTATGTCCTAAAATGCTTAGTTTCGAAGATACAGGGTGTAGAAGTTTCATTTTTATTTCGATTTTTTCCAAATAATTTCTGAAGCAACCTGTACCTGTATAAAAATACTGAGTAAAAAAATATACATTTGTGACATTTTTTACGTAAAAAAGGTCTCTTAGTAAAAATCGCTACGAGTAATACAGTAAAAACACGTGTAGGTGGCGCCCCATACAAATAGGAGTCATATTGACATCAAAATCAAATTTCTCATGTTAAAAAACTCCCAGACACCAATTTTTATCCAAATATTGACATTACATCAGGAATTACTTGGAAAAAAATCGAAATTTCTACACCCTGTATCTCCGAAACTAAGCATTTTTGGACATGCATTTATACGAACTTTTTTACTTATTTTTATTTGCAGAATGTGCTGCCGAAGTTTCCGGAATACAGTTCGGACCACCCTGTAGATCTAGTTTGCCCTAATATGTGGTTTGGTAATGAATCAGATATAGTATTTTTTTTAATTTATATAAAACTTACCACAATTGCATTGACTTGCTGATCTTCTATGTCTTGTTTCATTCTAAAAAAAATATTTTTTTTTATAAAAATTTCCTGTTAATAACTATGTTTAAATGTGAATAATGATAATAAAGATAATAACTAAATTATTGTGGCTTCGGAATTAGCACATCAAACAATTTTCCACTGCAGAGATTTTCAAGCTGTATAGGTATAAGTGGTGTATTGTTTAAAAAAACTATGTCAACTGCATTAATGTAATATTATAAATATCTACAGGGTTCGGCTATGGAGCAAAGGACATCCTAGAATAAAAAACTTGGGAATCTTGAAAGTTTGCTTAAGTGCAAACCTAAAATATGTACTAGGATGTATTTAAGGAAAATATTTTAGCATCCTCCGGGTGGCTCAAAAAAATGCGAGTGGATCGGAATTATTTTTTTTAATGAAACACCCTGTATATTATTGCATTTTTGGCTTCTTTTCAGATTAATTTGCATAATCCTAAGATATGAGTAAATATATTTCGATAGTTTCAGAGATATTAATAAGTAAATAAAAAATATATATATTTTTAGCCTTTCTTAAAAAATTATTAAAAATACAAGAACTGTCCTGAAATCAAAACTATATTAGGCATTTACTTTAGATGATCTATATTTACTTTACTATAAATATCGTAACCTTAAATCATACAGGGTGTTCAAAATTCTACGGCAAACTTTGTAAAATATAAAATTATTTTTTTTAAATAGAGAATTAAAAAATTAACATTTTTTGTCTTTAGTGTATTTCAAAAATTTTAACGGTTTGGCAGATATTCGCGGTATTAGCTTACTTCGGGTTTTTCTTATTACCGATTCTGAACCGTCCTAGAACTGTGATGCGTATGCGCAGAAGGAAATATGAAGACATTTCATTTGCGCATGCGCTGCAGAGTTCTACAACGGTTCAGAGTCGGTAATAACAAGAACCCGAACAAAGCTATTATCTCATATGGTTCTTTCAACGGTAAAATACGAGAGAAAAATCATTGGGTGGTTTTGATAAAAAAATTTCTGTGGAAAACGCCATATGAAATTATAAACCCGCGAAAATCTGCAAAACCGTTAAACATTTAAAATACTTTAAATATAAAAAAAGTTAATTTTTTAATATTTAAAAAAACGAAAAAAAATTATTTCATATTTTAGAAAGTTTGGCTCAGAATTTTGAACATCCTGTATGATTTCAGAATACGATAGGTATAGCAAAGCAAGTACAGGCCATCTAAAATAAATACCTAATATAGTTTTGATATCAGAACACTTCTTGTATTTTTAATAATTTTTTTAAAAGAGCTGATAAATCTATACTAATATAATAAAATCCTTAAGTGACTGACATACTGATTAATCACGATCCTGCTCAAACCACTCAACGTAAGAAGCTCAATTTTGGCATACAGGTTGATTCTAGGCTGTAGAGTTTCGATAAGAAGGGATTTTTCGAAATTCCAGTTCCAAGTGGGTGAAACCATCCCTTAAATATTACAATATTTTTTATTTAAAAAACGGTCAAGTTTCCGAAAAAACACTTAAACACGTATATTTTATTTTGTTTTTTTACATATTTTAAGATTTTTTAAAAATGTATACGGGGTGTTTCGAAAAATCTGGCCATTGATTAATCACGATCCTGCTTAAAGCGCTTGACGTAAAAAGCTGATTTTTGGAAAACAGATTGACTTTAGGGTGTAGAGGTTCGATAAGAAGGGATTTTTCGAAACTCGAATTCTAAGGGGGTGAAACTATCCCTCAAATATTAAAATATTTTTTATTTAAAAACCGGTGAGTTTTTCGGAAAAACTCTTGAACACGTATATTTTATTTTGTTATTTTACATATTTTTAGAGTTTTTATAAATTTATGCAGGGTGTTTCATAAAATATGACCATTGAGTAATCACGATTCTGCTTAAACTGCTTGACGTTTAAAGCTGATTTTTGACAAACGGATTGACTGTGGGGTGTAGAGGTTCGATAAGGAGGGGTTTCACGAATCTCAAATTCCAAGAGGGTGAAAACGCCCCTCAAATATTACAATATTTGTTATTTAAAAAACGGTTAGTCTTTCGGGAAAACGCTTGGACAAGCATAATTTATTTTGTTTTTTTACATATTTTGATATTTTTTAAAAAATCATACAGGCTGTTCCAAAAAGTTGGGTAGTTTCTTAACCACGATTCTGCTTAAACTGCTTGACGTAAAAAGCTTATTTTTGGCAAACGGATTTTTCGAAAGTCAAATTCCAACGAGATGAAACTACCCCTCAAATATTACCAAGTTATTATAATAATATCGCCATATTGTTTTTTCTCATGCTGACATAAATGTGAGAAAATTTTATCCAGTTTGTATGTTAATGGAAATTCTTGCTTTGCTTTATCATCACCATTACAAATGATTAATTCGACGCGAACGAAATATGGTACACCTTAGATATATATATATATATATATATATATATATATATATATATATATATATATATATATATATATATATATATATATATATATATATATATATATATATATATATATATATATTTTTTTTTTTATTCATGAATATCTCCGTAACTATCAAAACATATTTACTCATATTCTAGGGTTATGTAAGATGGTCGCAAAGAGAGCCAAAAATACAATAATATACAGGGTGTTCCATTTTAAATAAATCATCTCCATCCGAAGAACCGAATAATTCCGCCAAAATTCAAATTAAATCGAAACGGATCAACTAAAAAGTACTTACCTGTAAAGGTACACTTTGAATATGTTCCAATAAAACACAAAAAACAATCACTAACACTATGAAAACCCTTTCTTGTTTGAATTGGTTCATTTTTCCGGTTTGTTTTGGTTTTTTTCTTGTTTTAAAATCAAGTGACAGAGCGGGTAGTACTCTTGTTTGGACACCGCACGCAACGAATTGACGGAAGGCGACAAGGAACCATTATTTTTTATACGATTGCCGAGCTGCATAAGCGTACGGCTACGTAACATTTTTTTCAAAGTCGCTCCTCTTGGAAGGGATCGAGAGATTACCTTAGGCCTTGGCCCTGGCAGCGATGAATTTGATATTTCGTAAGGTGATTCACAATGGCAGCCTTATCGGTAGTACGGCCCTGGCCAGGGTTGGGTTTCACGGTAGTAAATTGTTTATTTATTACTCTAGTTTGATAAACGGGGTGAATAAATAAAAGGAATTAAACAATTTTTTTTTATTTTTGTAATTGCTTAAAATATCTTATTTACAACCACATGTGATATAGATATTACAGGATATTACCGATATTTAAAAAACTTTAGCAAATGTTACATCTGGGGGAACTCGAGCATCCTTTTGTCCATCCTCTTCTCGAAGGTATTAGCGGTACTTTTGACCACCCTGTAACTTCGTTGTGGATAAAGCAAAAATATTAATTTATCCAACAGCCAATACTTATACAGAACTAGTGTGGTAACTAGTGTGTTATAACTTCAAAGCCACACCATTTTATAGAAATTATTAAGCTTTTTTCATAAATTACTAATTCAATTACTTATAAATCTGTAGAATAGACTTGAGCATTGAATGCTTAGTCCATAAAGAATGATGGAACAAATTTCTTCTGTAGTTCAAAGAAGTAAGCAAGCAAGATAGTTTCGTTTATACCTTTGACATGTTTTACTTTCATCCACTCTTCAAACGCCTTGAATTCCCTATCATAGTAAAATTGACAAGAACATGATTTTCAATAAGCATTGGTAAAATCATGAATTGAACATTTTTAAAGTTGAAATATGGGTTATAACGAAAATCCAAAACAAAAGTCGTTAGAAAACTAGAATTAATCGATTTGATATTATCTGATTTTATACAATAATTCAAAGGTTATAAATTATTGCTAGTCAAACTTCTTTAATATCGATAGTGATTCACTCACCGTTATCACAACATTTTTTTATAAACTTTAAATGTTTGATTTTAGTGGTCTTTTTAAGCTCATAACGAAAGGAAAAAATTAAAAATCTATATGGATTAAAAGTTAAGTTTATAGCCGCTCCCGGTAACTGACTTTCCAGTCGACAAAAAGTTAGAATACTAAAAATAACCGATTTGATATTGTCTTCTTTTATTTACATACAAAATTTGTGAATATCGCCAGCCAAACTTCTTTAATATTGAAACTAAGTGAGTTTCGAACTTCCATTGTCTTTATTTATTTTGATTAGCACAACGTTTCGGTCAGAAGTTAGCAAGTATAAACTTGAGTTTACACTATTCTAGCATGAAAACTGGAAGGATAGATTTCATATATTTAGATATTTTTATTCTTAACAGTCCATTTTACTAATCCGAAAAAGTAGCAAAATAAGCGTTCGGCATTTAACGTTTTACGTAAAACTGGCCAGATATTTTTACACAAATGAAGAAGGAAATTAAAGATAAAGGATTATACTATATCCATATTGTAGAACATTTTTAGACAACTTCTTTATTTTTAAGATTTTGATGGTCAAACATCAACAAAATATTCCTTATGTTTGGACTAAATTTTCTCGAAAATAAAGAAATAATTTAAAATTCCGTTAGAATACGGAAATAGATTGAAGTTTTGTGATTACAGTGATATATAATTTATATGGTTTTGTAGCAAATTGCTCGCTATTTTATGGCAAATGCTGAAGCCCTGCAAACCTTAATAAAGCCTTAATCAAAGCACGTGTGTTTGAAATTTTGGGTGTGGCTTACCACGACAGGATCGGGCTAAGCCTTAGTGTGCGAACACAGTGCAAGCAGGTTTGCCGCTTACTGGTAGTTAGCGCCAATCTGGGCACCTATTCTTGACATCGTTCGCAACTTTGCGTATACGCATCACGTGTATCGTTATAAACAGGGTATCCCAGAAATAAGTGCAATTATTTTAAAGGGTGTTAGATCTCGATAAAAGAAACATATTTTCTCTTTATCGTTTTTCATATAAGTCCAAAATAACGGAGTTATTTTATTTTAAAAATTTCCAAAAAAAAATGATTTTTTGCTAAAATTTTGAGAACCACTGGATCTTTTCTGGATTTTCTTTCTTGTAACTTTAATCTACTACCTATGTTGCCATATTATCAAGAAATTATTTTTTTTTGATAAAAACTAAAAAAAAATCCAAAAAAATTTTCAAAAAATTCCGAATTTTCAAAATAAAATTATTTAGACAAAAACCTCATAGGCGTGTTTCTGGGGTTGAACTATACTACCAGTTAAGTTAAAATACTTGCTCTTATTTCTGGGACACCCTGTATATGGGTACATAGTAGCGCCGCGCCGCGCCGCCTCGCGCTTATAACCTTGAAAAATTAAAGCGTGTTATCAAATCGGCTAGTTCACAGTGACAGCAGGCAGGCACCGTCAACCAGCGTTCATCGGCGTTCTCGCTTTTACCGGAACGAAAATTTATTTATTTCTGCTTTTGCACGCGCCGACGGCGCACAGAGGGTATTAAGAACTAAAAGTTGGCCAAAATTATGTTTTATGATTTTTTTGCTAGTAATATTAATTACTAATTAGAGGAGAGGTTGCTAATATGGAAACCCATTTTGTTTTTCCTACACAATATTTTTTCCTCTGCTCTGAAACCCTTTCCACCGATCAAATAGGGCCATTCTGTGCAAAACCAAGCAATTGGATGAGGATGCTAGAACAAGAAAGTAATTTGTATATTATAGAAGCTATTTGAGCGAGGATGGGTGTTATAGGGTAAAGACTATTTCCTTTAAGAATCCATTTAAATTAATGTTTATTTTGGCAGTGGCAAATATTGGCAAGATTTTTGTACATATTCCAGAGCTGGAGACTTTAAGCATTGAACGGATACTAATTTCCATGCGGAATATTGCCGAATACTCTTACACCTTATAGAAATGCCTCTGATTTTTTAAATATAAAATATTATAAAGAAATAGAATAGAAGGAAACGTTTCAAAATAAAAATATGGAATAAAACAGGACTTGCCAGCTGGCTCTGTATCCATCATGACAGTTATTATAAACAATTTGCACAAAGAAAGCACTACAAACAATTCCACTATTTTATAATCTTAGAAATATTCAGAATACACTCAAGATAATTCATACTTATAATTGAAATATATTATTTATTTGATAGTCAACTTACGACTTAAAAAAAGCTAATAAACGTGCTTACATTTAGTATTTATAGATTTGTATTCAAAGATAAAAAATGAAATTAAAAAAAATATCACTTTTGGCCAGGTTTATAGACCAAATACCCCTATGTGCGGCGCCGGCGCGGCGGGCGCGGCGTTTGAATATGGTTAGGTTAGGTTAGGTTAGTTAATCAGGTAAATTTCCTCTTAATTAACTACTTCCGAACCCTGCTCGCATCTCCGAAAAAGCCATATACAATACACGTGATGCATATACGCATAGTTACGCATCTGTGTATTGTTATATGGCTTTTTAGGAGATGCGAGATGCGAGCGATATTTGAAGATGCGAGTGGTCAAGAATAGGTACCCTGAGACGACGCTGGTTGCCGGAAAGCAGAAACCTGCCTCCACTATGTTCGTACCCTTAGGCAGATTTCTGAAATATAATATATATTTCCTTCGGCCACAGACCCGCTTTACCCGACCCCTGAGAGCGACCCGAAAGTACAGCGTAATAGAGTTTTAAAAAAATACCTACCATAACGCAAAAAAATATTAACACACAGCGTATAATAAAAATACAGTGTAATATATGTAATAAAATTATAAATTATGCCATCTGTTACCCATCCCTGGCCTTGACTGAAATTCAGGGTCGACATCGCCGCCTGTATGCATTAAAATGCACGCGGTTGACACACTTACGCAACGTTTCGAGATGATAAGACGCCGCCATCAGTGTTATTAATTCCGTTCGGTTGTCGATGTGTGTTTCAGATCTCTTAATTACAGGTCTGAAGGTGCTGATAACAACAGACTAAAGTTAGACAATATTATTTTAATTGTTTTCAGAAAATATTCAAATTTATTAAACAGGTTGTCTCTTAAATAAATCCTTTTGAGTATTTTAAAGGTTGTTCCTCTACAGAGGTGCAACAAGTCAGTTTTAAAAAGACTTAAGTATCATTTCTAAAATCAAAATGATTTTTAAATCTTAAGTCAAATTCAACATAAAGTTCAAATGATTTAAGTCTTCAGTCTTTGACTTAAATCCAGTGGCGTAGCTAGGTAACCAAGGGCCCTGGGGCAAATTTAAAGATGGGGCCCCACTGCTTTGTAAACTGATTAGGTTTTATCAAATAAAAATATGAAATATACAAATACTTTAAAAATGCTAAGCTACTTAACCCAAGCAGCATTTGGACGTCGGGACAACGTTGTGTCACGCGACCAAACGTCGGGGCGCAACGTCGGCACAACCTCGTGCCAACCCTAGTCTGCACTAGTTTGGAGAATAATTTTTGGGTCGAAACGACGTTGGATACCGACGTTGGCTAGAAGCCTAATTTAGTACAAACTGCAACGTTGTTTAAAATCCTAATTCATAGAAATACAAAACTAATATGGCGTCTAAGTCGCGTTTTATCCTAAATTGGGATAATTATAGTAAAAATATTATTTTTATGATTTAGTTAGAGACATATGTCAGATGGCAGTGAAGGAAAACAAAACAAAAGTATTTATGTGTGGAGGATGTTTGAAGATCATAATTATTGAAACACTTTAACCGACTCTGTAACTCGTTACCCAAGGCAAAAAAGTTAAACGCAAACAACTTTATTGATAAATGTATTGTTTCTACTTTGAAAAATACTAATGGGCCTTAAAATTAAAGAAGTTTTAAAAATTTTCTTGAATTTTTTTTTTAGTAAAATGAGAATAATTTATTCGCAGTCGAAAAAATTGTTTCCGCGTGTTTTTTAGGGTCAAATATTTCAAGTTAATGTATTCAAAAAGCAGGAATTGCTATTTTAGGGACGAAACATTTTCTTATTTAACAACATGGCGGCTTTCACTTTGTTGTTTTGGAGATTAAGATGGAGTAGTTCGAATAGTCGCATACTGCATACTGGACTAATAAAGTCGCAGTTCGGCCTTAACAGGTAGTATACTAGTCGCAAGATTGCCTAATTTAGTCATCCTAGAGTCTAGCTTGTGCTTGTGCCCCCTATAGTCTAAATAAACGAGGGAGTGGATAAACTATCGGTAATATATGTCGATGTGTATTTAAATTTAGTTTTATATGTACCTTTCTTATGTTCCATTTTAATTAAGTTTTTTTTATAAAAACAAAAACAGCACTGAACTGTCTGACTGAACAGAACAAAGAAGTGAAAATTTAAGATTAAGGTTATGGTTCAATACAGTTGCAAAAAGGTAGTGACTCGGCGTCCTACCAACGTAAGAATAAGGAAATTTAAACAACGTTGGAATTAGTAAAACAGACGACGTTTGCATAACGTTGGAATAGATCCTGAAACTGACGTCGGAAAACTCAATATTGTCCAACGTTGTAACTACGTTGTCCGAATCACCTAAAGATCGCTTAAGCAAAAAAGGTTACAAGACAACGTTTATTCGACGTCGCAGAAGCTTCTACTTTGCTGTAGTACTAGTCCAACGTCGGCACAACGTTATAAAAACGTTCAAATTTATTTTAATACCCAAGGTAGGGAGATAACTATTTTTTGTAACTAATCCAACGTTGTGTTTAGTAAACATGTGGTCGCAAGTCGTGAAAATGCTACTTGGGAAGCTCTTTTTTTGCACTGCAAGGCAGGTAATAAAAATATTAAACAGTAACAACATAAATTACAATTAATACTTGGTGTAGGTTTGGCTAATAAAACGAAATAGAGAAGATTCAAGGGTTTATTATATAAAGGTCGGGCCTACCAACTGACTAAATAACAATTATATTTACAATTTTTTCCTAGCCTTAGTTTTCGCAAAAGTAGCAATGACTTCGTTTAAATCCAGGCTTGATGCGGTTTTGTTTTCAATTGCTACTAGCGATAAATGTCGGAGTCGAGTTTGGCCCAAATTATTTCTTAAATAATTTTTTATTATTTTTAATTTGCTAAATGACCTTTCAGCTGCTGCAGAAGTGACAGGAATTGTAAAGAATAATAACATTGCTGTAAATACTCCCGTTAGGTCGCATTCTAGCACTCCATATTTGCTCATTATTTCCTTACATAACTGGTGAACAGTCCATGCTTGAGTTAGTTGAGGTAAAACTAGGTGGTAAATATTAGTAAATTGAAGTAAAAAACTAGGGCCTATTATATCTGCATATTTTCTTTGGAATTCGTCACACTTTTGTAATAAAGTTGCTTCATCAACATGTAATAAAAATGTTGGTGTTAAAAAATCGATAATTGAGATATTACAGTGTCTAGTACATTATTGAAAATCTCAATTTTAAATATTTTTTCTCGGGTTGGAAATCGGTGAACAGCAGCTAATTCATCAAAATGTTTTTTTAACTTTTCTTTGCCTTTTTTTCTTGAAAATGGGTATCAATACCATATTTTCTTGTAGTTTCACTGGCTTTGCACTTGAGTAATTCGAAATCATTTCTATAAATTTGCAAGTTTGCTTTGGTCTCTGCTAAAACTTTACTCGCCTCGCCTAAATTAATGTTCCATGTTTGTAAAGTTTTGGATACATAATTGATGTCGTTCAATACACTGCACATAAAACGCACATATCACTATCCGTCAAATTGACAACACTGCCAACCTACAGAAAGAATTTAGGGGAATTCCCTAGGCATAACTTTTGAATTTCTCTCAACTGAGTTGTCATGATTAAAGTGAGGTTGCAACGTACCTGTCATATTTATTTTAAAAATGGGAGAAATTTCGAAAAGTTCAGTTCGATCGAAATTTCTGGTAAGGATTCGAGGGCCCCCTGAGCTTGAGGGTCCCGGGGCACTGCCCCGCCTAGCCCCTAGGTAGCTACGCCACTGCTTAAATCGTTTTAATTCAACACAAGTCATTTTTGTAAAGACTTAAATCAATATAACGTTATTTAAGTCGTTTTTATGAGTTAGATCTGTACAGGGTGGTCCGAACTGTATTCCGGAAACTTCGGCAACATATTTTTCAAGTAAAAAAGTAAAAATAAATAAAAAAGTTCGTATAATATGTCCTAAAATGCTTGGTTTTGGAGATACAGGGGTGTAGAAATTTTATTTTTATTTAGATTTTTTTCAAATAATTTATGAAGTAACAATATTTGGATTGAAATTTGTTTTTGGGAGTCTTCTGACATGAGGAATTTGATTTTGATGTCAATATGACTCTTATTTGTAGGGGGCCACCTACAAGTGCTTTAACTGGTTTGAAAAGTAATAACTTTTCGTTCGTACCTGTATAAAACTACTCAGTAAAATCCCATTCTCATCAAAAACCTATCTAATAAATGAACTTCATCAAATCCTGTCCCCCCAACAACAGGAAGAACATCATATAAACTGTATGATTAAATGGGGACACAATAGATCAATAAGATATAAATTTTTCGTATGTAATCGTCAAGAAAAGGTATTTAATTTATTATATAACTTTAGCAGCAATTAGACATTGGTTATTAATTATATTAAAAACAATATTCGGAAATTTGTGGGTCAGTATGTCACAAAAATCAACATTGCCTATTTTTCTTTGACCTTACAGAATTGCATTTCAATATCTAAAATTATGCAAATAAAAGTGCATTTTAAATAAGGCGATTTCTGATAAACTAAAACACTAATTTATCATATATTTATGTAACAAAAATGTCACATACTAAAATTTAGGTTGATGTAAAAAGTATGTCATATGGAAAAATATATATTACATATACTAGAATATGTTTCATTTTTTTTTCTCAGTTGCTAATTTACAAAATGAATAACCCAATAAGACTGACAGTAAGAAAATGTTTCTTGATTACACTATATTAAACCAAATTTTAACTTTATTTTATTTATAATTTGTCACTCTAAATACAGGGCGAGTCTTAAATAAATGCCACATATTATTTCCTACTTTGCGTTCTAATTGTACCACTTTTTGCTTTGAAAAATAAAATAAAATTCTTTGAAATTAAAATGACAGACACATCTATCACTGTCAAGGATTCTGTCATATGATCGAAAAAAACCCGTCCAGTTGGCTTAGAACTGACGATCGATGACATTTGCCATATAAAATGACAGCGATCTTCATTTCATAGCCATCGCTGATGCCGTTTCTTTTCGATCATATGGTATATTGTTTTATTAGAAGTAAAAATTATTCTTTTTGTGGTGAGACTGTACGTTTGACTGACATTACAGGCGAAGATTTCCATTTTGAAAATAATTACTAAATATCACTAGAAAATTGCGATGACTACACTAACTTTCTTGGTTGCCATTTTATTGAAAAATCATTCTTTATTCAAAATCTCAGCCAGATATAGTTTGACCAAACCAAACCTAATATAGTTTGAAAGAGCATTTAAATATGCTTCAACTTATCTTAAAAAATACCGAACGTATGAAATAAGGAAGTTTTTATGTAAAATAGATATTTAAAATAAACCAGCAATTTTTGGTACCCCTGTATACATTTAAGGAAGCAATCATATTTTTCAATAAAGTTTATTTCTCTACCTTTAAAATCTACACAAGAATTAGTTCTGATGAGTAATGTACAGGGTGTTGATAATCTTTTCTATTCTAGCATGCATATATAAATATCTTTAAATATCTCAAAATTTAAACGTATTTAACCCTTATAATAAATGTGTTTTTCTAGGTCAAGAATGCAAAAATGGAATAAAATACCGGGTGTTCGATAAGAAAAAATATAAAGTTGGTATGGATCTTAGTTCTGAAACTCCCTGCATATTTCAAAGACAATGAGAGATAACAATGCATCACATAGATCCTACAGATTATTTAAAATTAAAATTCGTTATAATTATTAGGAAATATGAAATATAAATGTTTCTTTGCTTTTGATTAATTTCTGTAATGTGATATTTCCTGGAAAATATTTATTATTAAATTGTAAAGAAATTTTAACAATAGATAACCGTTATACCTTAAAACTGCTATTTTCTCGGTAACATTGACACTATTTCATGGAAATTTTCAAATGAAAACATTAAAATATCACCATACACGATCTTTCTAACTAATTTGTTATAACAAAAACGTTCAAATTGATTGTTAATGAACCAGATACATTTTTAATACCGACGACCTTGTCAACAATGCACTTTATTTTGTTATTTTCCGATAAACTTCCAGTTAAAGCTCCTTATCTGTACACCTTATTTCCTTAACCTTTACCTAAATAGATTAGTTTTAAATTTTATTTAAACAAATGTATATAATGCCACCATATATGCAATTCATGGTCCTTCGGTTTGAAAACCTTAGTGATAAAAGGATGAATAATATAATCTCTACTCAATATGCAAATGCAAACCAATATTTTATACATTGCTTCTGAGAAATATACCTACTTCTCTGTAAATTCAAATTTTAAATTTTCCCACAACTTTAAATTCTCTATTATGCAACAGCGCAAACAATGATATGTATTACTAGTTGCATTACTAAACGTCAAACAATCTAACCTAACATTTTTGTAAACAATTATTGAATAATAATTTTAATAATTATTCCTTATTTTAAGATAAAAAGACATGAACAATTGAATGCAAAATGGAAAATCTATATCCTCCAGAAAATTACAATGCCACCGAAGTGATACATATGAAAAATTACTTTGACAAGTTCATGAAAAATTGTTACATACCAAAATCGGAAAAAACACATACCTTGGATGAAGTACAAACGGTTTTAAAGGAAGATTTTGGTTTGGCACTGAGCTCTGAAGAACTTAAGAATCTCGAAGAATTATGCACGTGAGTTTCTGCGCTTATTAAACTATCCATTTGAATAAAATAGATGAGTTTTTTAGTACAGATAAGTTGAAACTTCCCGAAGAAAATCCAGAATTACCTTTGAAACACGTGCCTAAAAGTCACGTAATTCCTCATGTACATCCCTTAATACCAGAAGCTAGGAGTTTCCAGACAGTGAAATGCAAAGAAGAGTTTAATCATTTGGCAAAAGAACTTCTCTATGAATTAAAAATTAGAAGAGTCGAATTTGACCCCAAAGTGGTATGTTTTTACTTACTAAAATCTACTTTATGCGATAGAATTTATAATTTTAGGAAGATTCAGGTTTAGTCAAGGATTTACAAGTTAGCTCAACATTTATCAACACTATAAACATTTTCACACCATTTTCTTCTTGTTCTTCGACAGAAAATAGAGTAACATCTGATGACTTAAAGATACAGTATGTAATTGAAGTATTAGGCACCAACACACTATTGGACTTGGCAAATGCTATACAGTGCCCTTCGGATAATTTTATTATCAAAGAAATTGAGACTACCACCTTAGATTTTACTGAACATCTAAATGCCAAAGTAAAATGTTCTTTTGAGTCTAAATAAATATACCTGTTAAAATGAGACATTTTCCAAAACCTTTTTTTTCTTAGTTACAACTTTTTAAAATACTAAAGTATTTCTCCCATAAAAATTAGCCTGAATACAAATTTTCAGTAGTTTTATTTAAATGTCTCATTTTTTATCTAAATATGATATGTCTCATTTTTAAATCATTTAACCCTGACTTAATATTATAAGCCTTTTATCTATGACCCTGACTTTGATTTTTTTTTAGGAAAAATATCCCTCTAGGTGTTTTTTTATAGAGAACGTATTTTATAATGATATGAAACATCCAAAAGCAATAGATTATTCGGAAGTTGTGAGAAAATGGGCTAAAGAAAATAATATTGGTGAATTTAAAACTGACTCAATGGAGAATGTAAGTTAGGGTATATTTTGTTGTATTTTTTAAGTTAAATAATGCGGAAAAATGTAACATGCGTGTAGAAGTTGAATTTATTGATGAGTTTATGGTGTTTTAGGTGACTTTTGATAAACTAAAGACACGATTGGGCTATGGATATGTCTATATACATCAAGGGAATTGCGAGCATATTGTTATGTTTGCTGACAGTAGGATTTTACAAAAAAATGACTGCCTTGTACAAAAAAGGTAAGAGACAAATTAATATTTGAAGTGGAACTTCTTTACTCGCGCTGGGAGTAAAAATTAAAGGCTAAAAAATTATTTTTTACATGTAAAAACTATTTTTTACCCGTAAAAAAAATATTTTTTTAATTTATTACTTTTTCAACATTTCAAACTTCACTTTTTCAAACATGTCCTTCAAATTTTTCAATTTAATAGCTGTTAGTAAGAAGTTTCAGTTCTTTAAGTCACTATTACATTATTGCTTCCAGTTGAACCTTATTAAATTATGCACTATGACCCAAAAAAAAGACGTTGCAGTAACCTTTTTTTTAGAATTTTTTTACTGTCCTCTAAAACAGTCACTATTTAAAAATTTCTTTTCATATTAAAGTAAAATCATTATCTTGAGTTAGACCTTATATAAATTTATATCAATCACAAAAGAATACACGGACGTGTAACGGTCATATACAGGGTGGAGCAAAATCTATGTTCCAAACAAAAGAGGTGACTTCAGGGACAATTCTGGCGTTTTTAATGGTTTGTTGTTTGTAGTAATAGTACGAGAGCTAGCAACGTCGGAAAAACAAGTATTTAAGTCTGGCTCTTTGATATATCTGTTACTATGCTCTCTAGAAAAGCATGCGGTCCGACTGGCCGCCGCACGGTGGGGTATTAGCATGAAAAAGGTGATCGAAATTCGAAAAAGCAAATGTGTTTAAGATTTCCCAAAAAAGATAAATGATAAGTTAAATCATGTCTGCAATGAATGGCGTTGCTATGGGCAGGGGGGTGACAGTAAACCGGAAAATTGGAAACAGTTGTGGCGCGGTTCTACCCAGGCAGAAAGCATGGCCTTCTAGACTGTCCTAGACAAAAATCTGAATATTTCTATATGATTTCTGTCAATTTCTGCTACGGAACATTTTTATGCACGTCGGCGTCTTGTTCTTTTGTCTTTTGTCTGTGTGTCAGCGTCAGCTCCCGAGGCCTCTGGCAAGGTCGGGCGCCATTTTAATTTTACAAAAACGTACTATTTATTTTGATATTCTCTACACTAACGATTTTTTTGCAACTAAAGTTGGGCGTTCAGAAAATTTGATTAAAGTTTGTGACATTTTTATTATACTTGGAGATTTAGTTGCGCATTTCGAAGAATTCAGCATATTGTCTATATACGTTTTACTTAGTAAACATTGGGCTTTCATATAGTAAAATAAAATACTGCGACTTTTTGCGACTTTGCTGATAAAATGAGAAAAACATTCTTGGTTTCCTCTAATTTGCCAATCAGTGATATAGTAATGCGAGGTGTAAACCGCGATGGAATTGTTGTGTACAAAGCGATCGCATTAGTGCCATTAGCAGTATAACACAATTTGGCATTAGTAGCGACTTTAGTGGTATGGGCATTGCTCGCGGATCAGTCATAGCATTAGTAGTATTAGTTGCGATATTACTACTTATGGGGGGTATTAGTGGCATTGTCCGTGGAAACACTGGAACAGTGATTTTTCTTTCTTTTTTTAGAATCGACGAATTATCCTTTATTTTGTTCATATTATTTCCTCTTTAATTGAAATTAGCAATAATTTATATGAGGTCTACATAAAAAAATTTCGATCAACTATCTGTGTCAAATACCCCACTGTGCGCCGGTAAACGTTGCGTTCCCTACTGCGCATTGAAAGAAGATCCTATATTTTTATTAGTCCTTAAAAATTCTAGTATTGAATATAAATCGAACATGTCTCCATAGCGCAGCGCGTAGAGTTTCCGACCACGAACCGATGATTCAGAGTTCGAATCCGGGTTAGGTCAAAGATTTTTTTACTTTTTTTTTCGTTTATATTCTGATAGTAAAGTATTAAATATTTGTTTTTTTTTTAAATTACCAGAATTATTTAATACTTTACTATCAGAATATAAACGAAAATAAAATAAAAAAGTCTTTGACCTGACCCGGATTCGAACTCTGAATCATCGGTTCGTGGTCGGAAACTCTACGCACTGCGCTATGGAGACATGTTCGATTTATATTCAATACTAGAATTTATAGTAAAATAGCTTATTTTTTTCTACACACATAAAAACCGGCAACACTGTATGCCGATATTTTATTTTGTCTCTCCCTCTGTATGTCAACCAGTCATTTATATTTATCTCTGTCGCATGCATTAGACTTACTAGCCCTCATATGGTATACTTACCAAATGATTGAAAAAAAAGGCGTCAAGTTAGCTCTTTTTGAAAACTTTTACAGATATCCTCGTTTAACGTCAATGAAGAGGACTCATGGTCGTCACTGTTTCATCTGTACGCACGATCAAGCATTTTGGTGGGTTTGTGATAGCGATAGGTTGCCAGTAAGGAAGACCTTTCTTTGCACAAAGTGTCTTCAGTCTTACCATTACGTGGACGGTCAAAAAGTAGGCAATTTTAAGCTCTATCCCTTCCATAATGAAATGATCTCGTTAGGTTCTGCAGAGAATGAGGAGGAAGATGCAGAGATTTTGTGTGGTGTATAAAATTGATTATTTGAACTCTTAAGTTGTTAATTTTGTTACTTTACATATAGTATTTATATTTAAGTAGGTATTAAATAAATAAAGTAATAAATAAAAATAAAATTTGTATGTGCGTGTTTTATTTTTTGAATTTAAAATCTCATAAAAATATTTTTTCATAAATCTGAATGAAAGAAGAAAACCCGAGTAAACCTATACCGGGTGCGTCTCAAAAGTGGCTCACTCCTATAACTTTTTTATTTTTTCAGATACAATAACGAGATTTGGTATATTAGTATATGACATAAATTAGAATTGATTGACGTATTCAATTGTTTTTAATGACTTCCTGTTTCACCGGAAATGACTACAACTTTTGGTTTTTAAATGGCACCCTCGGTATTTTTTTACTTTATTCGAGAGAAAATGACATTCTGAATAGAATGACATATCATATGTCAACTTTTGACATTCTTGCTTAATAAAAAATCGTATTTTAAAATTCAATCTAGAGTGCCATGGCTATGTTAAAAACACTAATTCTTAATCAAGGAGCCTAGGAAAAATAGATGTTTTAGTGTCCTGTCCTGACCAGTTAGAAAATGCACAAATCGTATTTTTAATCATATCTCAATTTTTTTAAATGGAACGAGGGTGTGGTTTGGTACCAATGTTTTTGATACCAAATAGTTGGTATTTCGAGTCAATTTTTCGTTACGAACCGCAAGTTATAATTTCAAATAAACCATATGCGAAATGTCAAAAGTTGACATATGAAATGTCATTCTATTCAGAATGTTTTTTTTCTATTGAATAAAGTAAAAAAATACCGACGGTGCCATTTAAAAATGAAAAGTTGTAATCATTTCCGGTGAAACAGGAAGTGACCGAAAACAATTGAATACGTCAATCAATCCTAAACATAATCCAAACCAAACCAAACCAAACATTCGAAAACCTTCTCTACGCACCTAACGATCTATGGACTATTCTAGAGTTCTTTACCTGTCGGTATAAAAGCCGGCGGCCGTGGCCTACAGGGGGCAGTTATAAATATACAGTTGACGCGCTAAAATTCAAAATAAATTCTTAGTTATAAATCGTTTGTAAATAGTTCTATAAGTCTTTTATCGTTATTGTTTTTGTTAATTAGTGTTAAATAAATAGTGTTTAAATAAATTGTGACTTTCTATCCACACGGAACCGACGAAAAACGTAACAGTATTTTTTGAAATAAAATCACAACATAATACAAAAATGTTTTTATTTTTCAAAAAAAAACAAAAATTGAACTTACACAATTTATAACTAACACTAATACATAATAATAATTAGTAATAAAACAATGGTTAACATTTCAAATTAAGATGAGCTCAAAATAAATACAAAACATTAAAAGTAATAACTAAAAAAAGCAGTTTTAATTCATTCAGAAAATAATATAAAAATGTATATTTTCTTAAAATATATGGTAACGGTTCAGAAAGCGAATAATACTAATAAGTAAAACAAATAAAATAAATATTAAGTAAAAAGCAAATACAGAAGCTTGAGATTATTTATTATTATTTTTATTTATTATAAGTTCAAAAACAAGGAAATTGGGCAGTGATCAGATCCAAATACTTTGTCACGGATTACGCTGTCACAAATATTATCTTTGATTCTTTGTGAACAGATAAAATAATCCAGTCTCCTAAAATATTAAAAATCAATATACTAAAAAAGTGACGAGAAAAAAAAACAATGAAAAAAATGTAAAAATTAAAAAATAAATAATAAATGAAAATAACGAAAGCAATAAAATAAATGAATTTAATTATATATAAAATATATATAAATATAAAATTTATAACAAAACAACAACAGAGTTCCCAACTGGCAAAGGAGTAAGACAGGGAGACGCGATATCCTCAAATCTGTTTACAGCAACATTAGAAGAAATCTTCCGTCGCTTGACTGGACCGACAAAGGATTAAAAATAGATGGAGAATATCTTAACCATCTAACATTCGCTGATGACATAGTCCTAATTGCCAGTAGTCCTGAAGAACTACAAGCACAAATTAAAGAACTAAATACAGCCAGCAATAAAGTGGGTCTCAAAATGAATTTAGCAAAAACTAAAGTAATGTATAACGAACTAGTGGACAGAAAAGACATTCTAATAAATATTAACACTGGAAATAATAGAAGAATATATATATTTGGGACAACTAATACACAGCTCGAGATCTCTACTACTAGAAATCAACAGAAGAATTAAGTCAGCACGGAGTGCTTATGGAAGAAACTCTATCACAAGAAAACTGCAGGTCGCACAACGCTCAATGGAAGGAAATATGCTGGGAATAACCAAGAGACGCCATAAAAGAATAGAGTGGATATGACAAAAGACCCAGGGGTGCAACTTTGTTCAAGTTAGCAACCGATCGTTTCGAAGCGATGTCGAAACCAGATCGGTACTATGTTCATTGCAAAACTATTGTCGCTCAAATGCTGCGAAATATGATATCACTATCACACTCTTGCACACGTGTGCGACACGGTTTAGGCTATGTCTAGGCAGTCGCCTCGCCACAAAGCGAGAAATCAGAATATCGCTACGAATCGATGTTGCTACTGAACATAGTGCCTCAAGCTACAAATTACTTTACTATCGCTTTGAAACATGAACAAAGTTGCACCCCAGGTAATAGATGTCATCCACAGAATCAGATCCCTCAAATGGCAATGACAGGACACCTGGCAAGAAGGACGGACAACAGATGGACCACAAAAATTACAGCATGGTGCCCATCAAGAAGACAATCTGAAATGTAACCTGTATGTTAAAAACGAGGGGTGAACACTTAGGGGATTTATGGTGTACACATGAGAGGATTTCCAGGGGATGTACCGAGGATGTAGTTGATGTACTGAGGATGTAGTGGATGTACCGAGGATGTACTAGAGGATGTAGGGGATGTACCGAGGATGTAGGGGATGTACCGAGGATGTACTAGAGGATGTAGGGGATGTACCGAGGATTTACCGGGGATGTATTTCGAATTATTTGGGGCGTAATTTGCCGAATGCGATGTTTCAAGTCATCCAAATTTGTGGGTTGTCTTTTGAATACATTTTCCATAAGGTATCCTCTTCGGTATCCTCTTAAAAAAGGTTTTTTTCTAATATTTTTTTTTACTTTTTAATTTTTAAATGCGAATAACTCCAAAAAGCTTGGATTTGGGTATAGCACTTACATGGAAAATATTCAGAATTTTAAGAGCAATTCAAAAATGCAGAAAAATAATAATTATGTTGCCACGAGGGTTGCCATTAAAAGAAATTGTTTTGGACATAGCATTTTTGAGAAACCCTGTATAATATTCATTTTTTGCATAATCTGCCCCGGAAAAATTAAAATAATTGATGTGGGCGAGCGATTTCCAAAAAAATGTGGTTCTCGAGATGTTGATATTTATTCAATATTTTACAACCACCCTGTACGAAATCAAATAGGATCGAATATCGATATTGAGAATATAGATAGTTATAGATATTTCCGATATGAAGTATTCATAAAGAGATATAGCGGTATCTGTTATATCGATAGCTATATCGATATTTGTGGACGAATATATCGTTACTTGGTTTTCACGTATGTGAATTAGCTTGTGCACATCCGTTTTTCTCAATGAATTTATTAAATAAAGTTTGCACAAGCCGATTTGCACAAATTTCATGGGAGTGAAAATGGACCTTTATTTGATATATCGATAAAAATATCGATACTCAAGGCTTTGTGGCTCACCCCTACTCATAACCTCAAAATATCTCGCAAAATGTATGTATAAGTCAGATATATAGACTTTAATCCATATCTCTGGTATAAGTTTATGCAAAAATGTGTTTGGCATGTGTGTTCATATCTTATTGCATAGTGCCGTAAGCGTTATGAATTAAAGGGAAGTGTGTGTAAATAATTATTATTGTACCCTCTATACGTCAAAAACGAAGTTCATAAATGCGAATGCCTTTAACGTTGCCTATTTTTAGGTCTGTTAAAGTAGATCCTCGGTAGCTACTAGATCTCATTTTTATTTAGGGTTCAAAACACGAGATTGATAACTTTGCACATAATATAGGGCTTTACGCATGACTAGGTTATTTTTTCCGCCGACATAAACTGCATAAACCGAGGCATAAACTGCTGTTATACAGGGTAAGTCTTAAATAAGTGCAAATATTTTCAGGGGTGGTATATTTTGACCCCAGGAACACGTCTATGATGTTTTTTTGCAAATAAAATATGTTGAAAATCGTGCATTTTCTTTTAAATTTCCCTGTATATTTTTCGAAAACTTTTTAGAACTGCCTGTTCATCGCTAATTTTCCCACGTTATAAATTCTTAATCTCTGATATTACCATAGTTACAGCTTTACTCTATGGTTACGGCACTAAAAGGGATACAAATACAGAAAAAAATCAGGTGGCTATCAAAATTAAAAAAAAATCATTTTTTTAAATTTTAAAACTTAAATAACTCGGTTATTTTGGACTTATTTGAAAAATGGTAAAGAAAAAATATGTTTCTTTTATCGAGATCTACCAGCCCTGAAAATATTTGCACCTATTTAAGACTCACCCTGTATAATAAAAGTAACGGCGAATTGTTGTAGGCACAATAATAGCCGAGATTGTTACAGCTCTGGCAAGATTTGATATGGGTTGGCGCGCCTTAGTTCGATTCTCGATGACCCCATATAATTTTTTTAAATGGTTTTGATTTTTTTTATCCTTTTGAATTCAACAAAAATATTAGGTGTCAACTATATTACTAGCCAATAAATTGTAGAGGTTTGAGAAATTTTGTGTAGTTATACATATAATAAAGCTCGTAATAAAGTGGGAGATCGCTCTAACATAAATAACAACTCCGGTTTCGTCGTAAGTAAAGTAACCTTAATTTTGTTATTTTAAATAAAAAAACACCCTGTAAATTTTTATATCCCTCTAGTAAATGTAAGTCGAAATGGTGCTTCATCTTTTTTTTATATATTTAAAAGTTTCGGAGATAATAGCGTTCAAAATTTTAACTTTCTTTTTACCATTCAAATAAAATTTTAAAAAAATATATACAGTGTGTCCAAGATAAGTATATCTCGAAAAGTATTTTATAGATACGTAAAACGGTTCATCACGAAAATTATTCTAAATGTATGGCGTACACATGAGAGGATTTCCTGGGGATGTACCGAGGATGTACTAGAGGATGTAGGGGATGTACCGGGGATGTACCGAGGATGTAGTGGATGTACCGAGGATGTAGGGGATGTAGGGGATGTACCGAGGATGTAGGGGATGTACCGAGGATGTACTGGAGGATGTAGGGGATGTACTAAGGATAGAGGATGTAGGTGTACACTTTTTGCCCTATGTGTTTACCCCTCGGTTAAAAATAAGGACCTCCTGTATGTTAAAAATAAGGATCACTACAAAATACTCACCATCCAACATTCTTGGATCTGGCACTGCTCATATAAGACCAAAAAGTATACAGATCTTTTACATCTGGATAGAATTCTCTTAAGGTGTCTATGTATCCATCACCTAAGAAATCTGTCATACCATCACGTTCTTCCTATTTTCAACAAAAAAATCATTTACATTTTCCATTTTTTTGTATGATATTATAACGCAAAAAAAACTAACTTGTGTAAATCCAGCATTTTTCTTATTGCTTTTTGGATTTTTCAAGTCAATCTCATTATGAGCCACATTCATATCACCACAAACTATAACCGGTTTTTTCTTGTCCAACTTTTTAATGAATTTTTTAAAGGATTCATTAAATTTTAGACGTTTTGGTAATGTCACCAATCCACGACCTAGAATAGAAAAATATACACTCAGATGCAAAAAACGCAGAAAAAAATGTCTTCAAATTTACAGCTGTGTTTAAAGTGTTATATATTTTTTTTATTTTTAGCTATATTTTCATAATTTTTTCAACAAACTGTATATCAACTTTAATTAGTAAACTCAGTTTTTTATAAATATTAGTATTTGGCTTATTATACAGAATGTGTTATTTCACCACACCCTGTGCAACAATGTCGTGAACAAATTTTCCTTAAACATTATTTTTCGGTCTCCCTGAATATTGCTTTAAGAAAACAGTTATTAAAAGTTTAGGGGTTCCGTCTGAACCACCATATTATTCTAATTTTCAAAAATAACAAAAACCATAAAAAAACTGTGATATTTTGACATGAAGTTTGTATTTCCTAAACCCATATTACAGGCTAAATATTTGTGATCACCCTGTAAGATTAAGGCTTAAAATGGTTATATGTATATCTATTTTAAAAACCACAAATTACAGATTATAATATGCAATTTGCTGTATATTTTATGTTATACAGGGTGGTATTTAAGATTCACCCTGCATAGTGTAAATGTAAAAATATATTTGCAATTTGAATTCCTCTGTAAATCTATGAAAAATATATCTTTAAAATGTGACAGATCATTGCCAGTGTATTTTGTAGACATGATTATAGTAAAAATCATAGAGTATTAAGATATTATGGAGCTTTTTAGGGAACGGATCGCCCTGTATATTATTTGAACTTGTATATTATGTATTTAAAGTATCTCAACCTAAGACGTTTATGAATTAAGACTATACTAGATGACAGAACGGTTTTTTTTTATTCTGCTTTTTCTAGTGTTTGAAGCAGGAATTTTATTCAAATTAAACAACCAATCAGAATAAAGATAAACAAGGATTATATATTTTTTTGGGTTGTCTTTCTTGTTCTTAACTAAAAATCACAAAAAAAATTCCAAAAGAGGTTTCAAAAAATTCCAAATTTTCTAAAATTTTGGTGTAAAAAAATTCGTAGACGTGTTTCTGGGGTAGAAATATACTACCCCTAAAATAGTTGCACTTATTTTAGACTGATCCTATACAAAAGTGGAGTAAAAATAAAAAAAAAATGTAGGTATAAATCACAATATTTCTTCTATGGTGTGATTTGTGTAAATTGTGTTTATCTAAAGCAAAAAACACAACTATAATATATACTCACCGGCATTTGGAACATAGACATTCACCAAATAGAACTTGTCATATTCCAGAGTAATACATCTGCCCTCATTATCATGCTCTTTATCTCCTAATCCATTTTTAACAGATAAAGGTTCTTGTTTACTGTAAACACTTACCCCTGCATATCCTATATAAATTTAAAAAAATTATTTATGCTTTTTTTTATGAATCAACCAATTTATAATACCTTCTTTTTCACTGCTGCACCAATACTTATGGTACCCTTCAACAGTTTTTACTTCTTCAGGTAACTTGGCATCGCTGCATTTAGTTTCCTGGAGACAAAATATATCCGGCTTGTCGTGCTCAATTATATCCAGTCCACCTTTCTTTAGCCACGCTCTAATCCCGTCCACATTCCAAGAAGTGATTTTCAGGGAGTGGGTTTTACCTTTTTTGTTCTTTTTCAAATTGCCAAAATCTGTATCCTCCCAGTTGGTCGAAGATTGGTTTTGTTTAGTCTCTGTGCTTTTTTTAGCTGTGGCAGAGGCTGAGGTTTCTTTTTTGGTATCTTTTTCCTTTTTAGCTGGTTTTTCTGAATCTGCTGCAACTTTTTTAGATGCCTTGGTGCTTTTTTTGGGTTCAATCTCTGCTTCTTTTGTAGCTTTCTGCCTTCTAGTTTTTGGTGCGGGTTCACCAGCCTCTTTCTTATCCTAAACAGACACATGGTAAGATTATATAAATATGATTGCGTTGCAAAATGCAAGAACAATACGTACATAAAGTCTGATAAATGTTGAACTTAGGGTTTTTTTTGGTACACAAGAAGTTAAGGAATATCTTTCATTACAAAATGCATTAGTGGTAAAACAATGCTTAAAATATCTTAAAAACAGATTACGAAAAAGTGTTGGTGTATTATTCATGATTTGATGTCATTAAAGTATATAAATAATTCAAATTATAGGTTTATTTAATTAAAAAAAACAATTCCTTGAGGTTAAACCTTGAAAATATAGGTAGTAAAAAAATAAGAATTTTGATACTTACTGCAACTTTCCTTTTTGGAGGCATACTTCCAGAATATTTCTTAATGGATATAACTCCGAAAAAGATTTATTAATCTGATAAAAATCCTTTAATGCACTTTTACAACTAAATTATGAACTAAATCAGAGATAGCCATTCAGTTACCCGCCAAAAACGAAATCAGGGTAGCCACCAGTAGCCACTGCCACATGTAACCAAAAAAAAAATTTCTGTGCGTTTTCTACATCATATGCAGCCCCATTCACAACATATTTTCTGATTCACAATAATTTTATCATTTATTTAAAAACCAAATAGCCCCTAAATTTACATTTAAAACATTATTATTATAAATTAGACTCAGATTTTACGTATTTTTAGGTAGATATTTAAAACACAACAATAAAATACTGACTAGTTCTTAATGTTTTATTTTAAAAAAGCCTAATACAGAATATAACTTATCGTTTTCCTCCAACTCTGGGAGCTGCTTTTTGAATAACTTTAGCCACTTTCTGTTTAGGTGCGCTCTTAGGTTTAGCCGGAGCAGTAGCTTTCTTGGCTGCTTTCTGTGATTTCTTGGCTTCTTTAGCAGCACTATTAATTAAAAATATTACACAATATACCACATAAGTAAAAATAAATTAATTTACCGGATAGCTTGTTCTCTTTGAGCCTCTCTTACTTCGGGTCTCTGATTTTTCTTTGCATTAATTTCATTTATTGAGGCACCAACAATGGCTCTTTGGAACTTTTGTGTCCTACGCGAACGCTTTTTGGTGGCTTCTTCTTCCTGGCCCTTCTTGTGTTTACGTCTGTAAAGTACGGTCCACGTAACTTTACGAGGATTCCTCCTCATTAAGTGGGCCCTTTCGCATTTTGAATTCAAGAATGTGAAGGTCTAGAAAATAGGTTATGATTAGTTGTCAAAATCAAAACATTACTTTCAAAGCAATTTTACACGAAGAGATGAGCTTGACTCAATAAAAACAAGAAAGATTTACATAGAAGGTGTAGTAAACTTACTTTTCCATCAACTTTGACCATAGTTTTGCCATGGCCAGGATGAATTTTGTATCCACTGTAGGCGCAAAGTCCGATCCTAAAAACACAAAAATCATTAGTAGAAACGTTTCCATATCTTCTGTTTAGCTATATTTTAACACTAAAACTAAATAATAGTACAAGATGATTATTATATTTAAAGAATTTCACCGAAAAACTTACTTCATCTTGTCAAATTCAACAAACAAGGAAAAAAGACTTGCGCTTTGCAAACTTGTTTGCGATTGGCCAGATTGCGACCTGTCAAGTCAATGTCAATTTTGAAATTTTCCCTCTTATCTTCCTCTTATGGCGTTTGTAATATTTTTGTTATAAACTTCTCTTAAAAAGAAATATAGAGCAATTATGACAACTGAAGAATATTTATTAAGCTCAAACTTGTCAGACGATTCAAAAGAAATTCTTGAGGACTTGGAAGAAAAAAGCAAATCTCTATGTACGCAACTTCAAGAAAGATTGGTATCTTTATCTGCTTCTGTAAAGTCATTGAAAGGGGCTGTTAGTAAAGAAAAAGCTCTTTGGAAGGACGAAATTAAAGAAACCATCGAGTTAGAGAATAAATTATCTCGAATAAATTGGGAAAATTATTTGTCGCACGATATGATTCAAGCGAAAATAAACAAAGAAATAGCGTTAAATATGTACAGACAGAAAATATTTGAAGCTGATAATTTGTGTAAAATGGAAATGCTGAAAATTAAGAACAGCATTGAAACTTTGGTTCCATTACAAGTTATAGTGGACGAATGGAATACCAGAAAAGACGAGCCAGTGGAAGATATGAAAGAAAAAGAATAATTGAATTTATTTAATATATACATTAATAATATTTCAGTTAAATAAATTAAATTTTTAATTGTTTTGTTTGAAATTCTATTCAAATGGATTTTTTTTCAAATTTCGAGCCTTGGATTCGATGTTAATGCAAAGAAGTTTGTATTCTGTGGCGTTGAAGTTTGTTAACCCAACTTTTGTTTTTAGTTGTCAAAAAATTATCCTGATATTAACTGACGTGGATTTGAAAATTCACTAAAGCTGAATTATTGTACACTTTTTCAATAAATTTCAGTAATCATTTCAAAAATGGATATCGCCACACTATTCGACGATGTGCAACGTATGAACAAAAGACAGGTAAGGCATTTTCAGCACGTTCTCTACCCGGCACTTCCAGATGCGAAGTATCTACTAAATATATGATTTTGTTTAACGAAAATAATATGTATTTGTTTCAGTTCTTATACCAGGTTTTAAGCTTTGGAATGATAGTTTCGTCGGCATTAATGATATGGAAGGGTTTAATGGTCGTAACAGGCAGTGAGAGTCCAATTGTAGTTGTATTGTCAGGTCTCTTTATTCTAGAGCTTTGTATTATACCAAGGAACGTTTTAATCATGCTAGAATTTGTATTATAGGTAGTATGGAACCAGCATTTCATAGGGGTGACTTACTGTTTCTAACAAATTACCCCGAAGAACCAGTGAGGGTAGGAGAAATTGTTGTTTTCAAAGTTGAAGGTCGAGACATTCCTATAGTGCATAGAGTATTGAAATTACATGAAAAGTAACTATTTGGCTGTTTATTAAGTCATCAATTTTAAAAGATAAATTTTCAGAGATAACCAGACTGTAAAATTCTTAACTAAGGGTGATAATAACAGTGTTGATGATAGAGGGCTGTATGCACCAGGTCAGTTATGGTTAACTAAGAAAGATATTGTCGGTAGGGCAAGGGGATTTTTACCTTATGTTGGAATGGTCACTATTCTTATGAATGAATACCCTAAATTTAAGGTAAAATTATTTTTTCTTTATCCTGATTCTTCTTAATGTGTTTGATTTTTTTTTTGCTTTTTTTTAGTATGCTGTTCTGGGTTGTTTAGGATTGTATGTCTTAATTCACAGGGAATAGACTTGGATGTAACTTTTTTCAATGAAATAACTGAATGTTATGCAATTGTTCTCTTCTTTTTTATTCACCACTTTAAAGGTACAATTTTTTATTAAATTATTTTTTTTTTGATTAAAAGATATTTCAGAAAAATACTGTTTTTTAATATGCCCAGTATAATCAGGCAATCTTAACAAACTTATATTCTTGTCAAAATCACCAAATTTATCTGTAAGTTCATTAGAAAACAAGATATATAACAACTTACAAATAGAATTTGTTTTTTCTAACAGAAAAGTACATTTTTTGTAAATATGAATATTTTTTGTTATTATAAACACCTGAGAACATGGTATATCTGATATTTAAGAAGATAAATGATTTTGTATAATCTTTTTATTGTTTAAAATCATATAAAGATTCATGCTGGAATCTCAACACTTCATTACCATAACTGGTCCATTCCGGTAGTAAATATCTAGCAAATATTTCTAAACATGTTGCATTTTCTTGCATGTATGGTCTAATAACATCGATTAGAGGTGGTTTGTGAGAATGGATGGCACTAGGTATGCTAATAAGTAATTTTCCTGACTCAGGGATGGGATTTTTTTCTGGATTTTTACAAGCAAAAATAATTTGCTCAAAGGGTTGTTTACCTAAAATAATTCTTTGAAATACCAACTATTCTTTAATTATGCATTTCCTTTTATACCTGGTGGTTCAGAAAATTTGCAAACTGGCTCCCCACTCATAGTAACCTTTACCCAATACCATTTACTAACATATTTAACACCCCATTTCTGAAAAATGTTTTCGGTCAAATAGTTCAAGTGTTGCAATGAATTTGTGCACCAAACAACGACTAAACCATCATCTTTAAGTAAGTTTTCTATAGGTATTGTTTCTAAATCTGTATTGTACATCATATTATATGCTTCAGAAGACTTTTTCCTTTTCCGCCTAATGTATTTGTTCCACCAAGGTGGATCTAGTAGAATAACATCAAATTTTGTATCTTTTAAATGTGTTTCGATGTTAGAAATATCTTTGCTGTAAAATTTACAGTTTTCTGGGAATAGAAACTTGGAACTGTCCAAGGTTTGTACTGTAGCAGGCCCATAATTGCAACCAGTAGTATCTTTAATTATATTTTTTCCCGATTCAAAGTATACTTTTTCTGCGGTCTCTAAAGCTAGAATATTTTTAATTTGTACAGCTTCGCGTTCTTGAAAAAAACCTCTTTTTCTAAGATAACTCGTAAATTTCAAGTATTTCTCTTTAACTGTTTGAACTTCACTTTTAAAATCACAGTAAATGCTTTCGTTTTCATTTTGTTTAGTTTCATTATCTTGCTTTTTCAAACTTTTCTTTCTTTTAGAAATGTTTTTTGTTGAATAGGGTGTGAAAATTTTAAATAAGTTTTCATTTATACCTGACACACACCCGTTCTTCGGAAGTATACTGTTAAAATATGTCTTTGTGTCTATTAAAAATCCATCTTCGTTTTCAATTTTTAAAGCCATTTATTGCCAATCAAGGTTGCAAATAAAAATAAAAATATTGACAAAACAAGGCAAATTTAAGGTTAGATCGTGGTTAGGTCATAGATATATGAATTTATTTCCTTTACTATCTATGGGTTGGATCAAATAAAAGTTCGATATGACCATAGATTAACTTTAATATAGCACAGCACTAATAATCTGACAAGTACCGGTCGTTTTGTCGTTTTCATGTCAAAATTTATTATATAATTTTAAAAACAGAAAAGTTCTTTAAATATATTAAATAAGTAAAAATGGTTCTTACAGCAGCACAATTATCAAAAGTTTTACAGAACACCAAAGGCTTCGAAAGAGTTCTGAGTAAGGTCTGTGTAAATCCACGATTACCCAAGTAATTTATTTGAATGTTTTATTCAATTTTAAGTAGATCAAAGTCATCTCTTTAGAAAATGGGAAATGCAATGCCGAATTGAAGGTCGAGGATGAGCATACGAACGCTTTAGGAACTCTCCACGGTGGTCTTTCCGCTACTTTAGTAGACGGTGTGTCAACTTATGCATTAATGACCCACAAATATGGACAAGTGCCTAATGTATCTGTGAATATTAATATGGAGTTAGTTTGTACCTTCTATTCTAAGAAAGAAATTATTTTTTAATAATATTTTAGGTATATTAAGGGTGCTAAAGTGGGCGATGAAGTACAGATTCTAGCTAATACAATTAGGGTAGGAAAAACCTTAGCCTTTTTAGAAGTAGCTATTAAAGACAAAGCGACAGGAACATTACTGGTTAAAGGATCTCATACCAAGTTTATGATGAACCCAAAGTAATTATTTTTTTAAAAAGCATTTATTTTTTACCAAGATGATATTTTAATACTATAGTAGAAGAAAAAAATAGTTTTATGATTTAAATAAATTTATTTTTAAGTACAAATAGGTAGTATTGTTTTATAAACCTATTTAATCCCTTAATTCAATCTTATCCAAATAAGTTAAATCATCTGGGTCATACAATTTTCTACGCTTCTTTTTACTGTTAGTTTCTTTAATTATGGGTGCTTGAATTATCTCTAACTTCTTCAAGTTTTTATTTTTCTTCTTTTTTTCTACAGAAGATTTTTTTAAACTGGTAGACATTTGCACTGTAACTAAATCGGAACAATTTTCTTTATTATTTTCAGGTTCCAAGTTTATAATTATTTCTTCTTTAATGTTTTGTAATTCATTTACATCATCTGTGTTATAATATTCTCTTTGCTAAAAAAATTAAAATTATATCTCCAAAAATAGCACAAAAAGGACCACACCTTTTTGTTTTTTATTTCGTCTATGTCTCTCTGGATGTTTGAATTTATTTGATGCATCTGCCTGATTCTCATGTTTAAATCCACCAGTTCTTTGCGCATTTCTGTTTCAATATCATCCTCCTCTAAAGCTGTTGATGCTCCAAGTAATTCTAATTCACTCTGTAATTTTTGTACTAAAAAATAACATGTATACACAATCTTTTAGAAAATATCGATATAGAAGTACCTATTATATTATGTCTGTCATTTTCATCTTTCATTTGCTCATATATATGATCTAATTTAAATTCGTGTAATTCTGTTTGTAGTTTATTATCATTCTCATAATGTGCTGCAAACTCTTGCATTTCACAGTTTGTTGAGGTCTTTAATATGTTAAACTCTTTTTCAAACAACAGTGTATCGTTTAGCAAGCCTTGCAATTTTTCTTTAACATGTTATAAAGGTAATATGGCAAAAAGTTTATTTGAAAACAACAAATTACCTTGTAAACATACATATTGGGCTGTGATGTCGAAATTATCATTGCTATACAGCAACTTTAGTTCTTTATGTAAGTTAAAGTCTTTATATCTGCAATTATCCAATTCTGCTTCATAATCTTTTAATTCTTTATACAGATTTTCGCGAGTTTGTGGATTGTTTGAACAATTCTATAAAGCAGTCATAGTGTGATTACTTACTTTATCTCGATAGTAGTAATTAATGGTTAAATAATTAGGATAATGCTTGAGATTTTAATTACTTGCAAATCCCTATATATTTTTATTATATCTTCGTCGGATAAATCCATTTTTTAAAAAATATTTTCAAATTTCAAAACCTATAAATTCGATTTTGACAGTTGCGCAATAGTTGATCTATGGAATTGCTGCCAAAAGAACTACTAGGCTAACCATAGAATAATTATTAGGGTTAACTTTATCGTAGTTGCAATGAACGAAAACATTTGATAAAAAAAATCAAAGGAGGCAATTTAAAATTAGAATAATTTTTCTGCAAAAGAACGTATTTAGAATTCGTTTGTTTCTGAAGCCCCAGGAAAGAAAAAATAGTGCTATAAAATACTTTCGCTTAGTAGAACTGAGGAAATAAATGAAGTTTTCTTAATTGGAGCGCATTGTATAAAGGTTTCCACTTTTTTTTTTTCTTTTATATTAGATGATCATTTTTAATACATTTACTAAGATGAGAGCACATGAATTAATTCGTCACATAAAAAATAGTAAACTATTTAACACTGTATTTGATAAGGTTTGCCTTATAACTTTATAAAACAACATATTTTTTAGAAAAAAAATAATTTTAGGTAAAATTAGTATCAATAGGTAATGGAAATGGTTTGGCCGAGTTTACAGTACACCAAGAGCATACAAATAGCATTGGATGCTTGGATACATGTTTTACAACAATGCTTACAGAGAGTACGGTTTTTGATACTCTCATTCAAGATATAGGTGCGCTAAAAATAGAGTTCTATAACAAACATATTAAAAAAAAGTTCTTAGAAAAAATATTAAGTATTTAGGTATACATTTGGAGTTACTACCTGAACAGTAGTTTTTTTAGAAAGTTTTGTTTATTTCATCTATGATTTCATCCCTGTGATATATCTGTAAAAATGTAAGTACCTGTATGTTGGCATAATGCTAATAAGATAAAGGTTTTATTATACCAGGGTGTTTCAAAAACATGTGCCATCTCTCGTGGGGAGATTCCTCACGTAAAAATATGATTTATTTTTCATATTATCAACACAGGCCCGATTCTGGTTTGTTTCGTGGCCACAGAGTTTTAAAATCTTAATAATCTTTCGATTTATTATTATAATTTTCTAAACTATTCCAGTGATAACCCATATGCACGTCCCTGGTGAATATGTCGACACTTTTTTAGTTTTAAAAAATGTCGCATTCATAGTAATTTTTACCCTCAAAATTTCCTTCAAAACTCTAAAAGTACTTGGAAGAAAATTATAATAAATCGAAAAAATATTAAGATTTTAACACTCTGTAGCTATACGAAACAAAGCAGATACGACCCCAGTGCAGTTATGACATTCGCCATGTTGAAATTGCAAAAATTTTTAGAAAGCTGCGACCATTAAAAATAGTTAGCCTTAGTAACCCTTATTAACATACTAAAAGTCCCCATTTGTCCGATGTGTGCGTCATCAAAAAAAATCGGCCGCCATTTTGAATTTTGGTACTTTTTGGGAAAAAATGTAAATAACTCGAAAACGGTTTGTTATAGCGAAAAACTTCAAGAGGTAAAAATTAAAGAGAATAAAAAACTCTATTAGAATCATAAAAAAATAGTTTATTATCCTAACGCAATAACGTACAAAAAAATTTTGAAAATCGAGCAATTTTTAAAAGGAATCACCGAAATGCAAATTACTAATTTTTTAAGCTTATTAACAAATAACATGGATATTTAGCATCAATTCAACTGAAATACAATCATTGTGACATTTTCAAGAAATATTTTTTATTGGTGGGTTAATAATATTTCAAAATTAACAAAGTTAGGCTACAGGTTGAAAGAAAAAAATAAAATGTAATGTAAACTGGCGACTTTCAAAACGTTGCAAAAAGATCCTCATCTGCGACAAATTACATCCGTTTTTTTAAATCCTGCAGCACAAAAATCTGAGCTAGTCGAAGCTGGAAATACATTCTTATTTTCATTATATGATTGACATAGGCTAGCAAAAGATTTAGATCAGTTGAGGTACCTATTTTAAATATAAAGCCCTTACATCTCGTCAGGTACTTAGTAAAAATGTTGATTTAGCTACCTTACCTCCAACAACTAACGCAGCTGAAAATCATTATTATAGGACCTATTTGCAAATGCAGTATTGGCTTAATAACGGAGAAGAGGCAACAGAATGTGGATGGAGTAAAAAAACGGATACCTTAGTTCCAAAAACAATGTCAAACGCAGTGGCACCAGAATTTGTATTGAAAATGATTTACTGTAATTGCAAATCTGGATGTAATAAACTATGTACCATTGCGATAAAAAAAAGTAGTACAAGAATTAGTAGTCCCAAATGGAACACCTGGTCTATAAGGATATTTGAATTATATTGATTTTTTTTTTTTGATTTAGCCAACAACACTGTTTTTTTGTTTATCCCTAATGCATCTGCAATGTCCCTTATGGGAACCCCATCCCTTAATCGCGTAAATATAATCGATTTTTGCTCTGAAGTTAAAGGCATTTTTTAAAAATTACGTGACACCTTTGAATAAGAAGACTAAGGAAGGAGCATATCAAAAATCTTAGGTACACCGCGATGAGCCTCAAATATGGCCGACTTAAATTCCGGTTTATCAGTGTCGTTCTAATTTTATTTAAAAAATGTAAAACTATGATGTAGGGTAGACGTGGGGTAGACTCAATAATTTGTTGTTTTATTTTACGTTGTGAATAAATGTTGGTAGTTATTAAAATTGTTGTAAAAATATATAATTCTAATAAAAATAGATAAGTTATAATTAGTATTTATTAACACAAACATCCGATACGCTACTGAAGCAGGTAAGTCAAATTAACGTATCTAAATCATAGATAAATGCTTAAAAAGCTGTGCTGTGAACTGTGAACTGCAAAAACCATCGTGGATCGTGGCATAACGTCAGTTTGCAATGTTTCATAGGTATTTCATACATGCGTCCTTATATAAAATAAAGTTTCTTGTATGCAACACATTGTATTTCATTTATAAAATTAAACGAAAATAACAATAAATTTGAATAAACAATATTTGGCGATATAATTCCGGAAAAAGCCGAACCGCTCCGAAATTTTCAAAAGTTCTGGGTCGCGACCGTTGCAAGAATAGCGCCAAATAGTGTTTACATTGTCCTTATGGGCACTTTCCAATCTAAACTTGTTTCATTTAACTATGATCTAAATTCTTTGACATCTAATCTTTGACAAGTAATAAATAAAAGCTAAAATGCAAGAAAAATATATAATTTAGTTAATTTAAGTGAATTTCATAAATGATCGGTTTACTACACGTATGTATATTATATAGTCACTTACTAGCGAAAAGTTGTTCCATTATTTCACTCAATTTTTGCCGAGATCTTCCGCACGCTACACAACCAACTATTTCAGAGTCTTTTTCGATAAATCGCGATAGTGTCACTGTTAATTTAAGTTCTGCCACAATTTCCATCTAGATTTACTACCTTTATACAACTATCAGTAGTAGAATAAATAATAAATAACATAAAATCAGCTCCGTAAAGACTGACAAATCAACAAAATTTCAAATCAAATTCAAATGTGTCAAATGAATCGTCAAACAACGTTTTTTTTTCTAGAGATTTGAAAAGTTAGATTACAAGTTAACGGTAAGATCGTAGATGATATTTATGTCAAAAAGACATTCGCAAGTAGTTATTACATTTTATTTTTTTCTTCCAACCTGTAGCCTAATTTTTCAAACTGTCACTGTATTTTTAAAAACAAGTTGTTTACAAAATGGTAACAAAAAGACCTTGCTTTAAGTGCAAATAGCCCCGACCGGAACAAGGTGGAGGCTGCTTTCGCACATTATTAGTACACATGTATTTAGTAAAGGATAACGTTGACAATTTTTGTTAATTTTGAAATATTATTAAACCACCAATACATATTTCTTGAAAATGTCACAAGGACTGTATTTTAGTTGAATTGATGCTAAATATCCATGTTATTTGTTAATAAGTTTTAAAAAATAGTAATTTGCATTTCGGTGATTCCTTTTAAAAATTGCTCGATTTTTTGTACGTCACTGCGTTAAAATTTTGTACGTCACTGCGTTAGGATAATAAACTATTCTTTATTGATTCTGATAGTTTTTTATTCTCTTGAAGTTTTTCGCTATAACGCACCGTTTTCGAGTTATTTACATTTTTTCCAAAAAAGTACCAAAATTCAAGATGGCGGCCGATTTTTTTTGATGACGCACACATTGGACAAATGGGGACTTTTAGTATGTTAATAAGGGTTACTAAGGCTAACTATTTTCAGTGGTCGCAGCTTTCTAAAAATTTTTGCAAATTCAAAATTATTTGCACTGGCCTAAGAATCAGACTTATGTTGATATAAAAAATAAATCTTATTTTTACGTAAGGAATCTCCCCACGAGAGATGGCACATGTTTTTTAAAACACCCTGTATAAAAATGATTTATTTAAATTCAGGTATTTATTTAACAGGTGTTTATTGATTGCATATTGTTACAGGGTGTTTTAAATATTGTAAAGGTCATTTTGTTGTAAGTCTATACATACATTATTGAAAAATTTGTCTTTATATGTATAGGGTGTCCCAAATTCAAGACTGAGATTTCAGGCAGGTATAATATAACCTAAATATGTCTTAGTTGGAAAGTTGGAAACATGCCATGTATTGATAATATATCAGAATGAAAAACATATACACGTATCTGTAAAAAATCCACACGGCACTTAGAAAAATGAAAAAGTACATATTCTTGGTTAGGTAAATTGTTCTTCAAATAAAGAGCAGCTTTAACTGTCATTTCTTTTGGTGAAAATATTCTTAAATCATTCTCGAATTTTGAACACCCTTTTAGTGCCTCTATTACTAGCAGATTTTTTGAGTATTTGTTTTTTTTTCAGTGAACACAATGTGGTATAAATTATTTGTTTTTTTTTATCACTACAAAACATAAATACGTATAAGACGACGACATAAATAATACAAAAATAATTTTCTTAAAAGCTAATCATTTTTTAAATAAATGGACCTAATTGACCACGATCATCCTGATGATGAAACCACCCAAAACGAGCAGGGAATTGGCCAGTGGCGTTCTTGGAATTCCATTTTCTGGAATGTATTTCGTGTTTTCCATCATCCAGTAGAACCCTTCCATTTTGTTTTGACGTTTCAATTCGGCCCCTACTTCTTGCCGTATTTCTTCGTTGTATCTGTTCAACCAACGTCTCTAAAAATGAATATTATAATCTCATCAAAACCTTGTTTGTATGTACATATGTATGTATGGATGTTTGTTACTCTTTCACGCAAAAACTACTGAATGGATTTTAATGAAACTTTACAGTAATATAGCTTATACATCAGAATAACACATAGGCTATAATTTATAAAGATAATGTGTGTATACAGGGTGTCCCAGGCTGAGCGTACATTAGAAGTTTCTAGAGAACCATAATATCTAGATCGGAGATTTTTTCGTTAGATCTCGTTGTGAAACAATGATGTGCAAAAAATATCTGTTCTAGGTATTGTAGTTTTCTAGAAACTTCTAATGTACGCTCAGCCTGGGACACCCTGTATAAAGGTAATATAACCATAATTGACAAGTCAGTAGGAAAACATTCTGCCAGATTCTGCCATTTGCGAGCTATTCTGGCGTGCGCTGCTAAAACCAATGGACAAAAACCATCATTTGGGCAAAATAAATATATTTTTCTAGGCAAGCTTTCTTTCGGGATCCCGGGATTGACATCCCTAATCACACCATCATGCCATCTTAATCTGTACACCTACCTAGACATTTGCTTATTTCATATTAAATGAAAAATAAATCGCTAACACAGTAGCTTTCTCAAGACTATGTTGTATTTCTCAAGATTGTGTTAGCGAAACATGGTCAAAAATTTGATAATTAAAATGTTTCAATATCGTGGATTTAAGAATCACTTTTAATTTATTTCCGTCTGATTATGGAGATAAACCAAGTAACAGCCGTCAATTCAAATATTTGATATTATGTTATATCGAGTTTCTTGGCTCCATTATTTAAAAAATATTGGGAAAAAATCGAGACTATTAGAATATATTATATATTACGGAGTATTTATGGGCCCAGTGGAATTCCTTGGTAATAGATGACGGACTACTTCGCCGTGTGATCGAGAGACCGGAGGGACAAGAAGAGAGAAGGCAGATCGTCATTCCAAAGGAGAGAATCCCGGAACTCTTGGAGGAAGTTCACAATGGAACCAGCGGTGGACATCTTGGTGTTACCAAGACACTTGGCAAGCTGCGTGAACGGTTCTATTAGGTGAACTGCAAAGAAGACGTGAGGGCCAGGTGCAAGAAATGTGACGTTTGCGCCGCCATCAATGGGCCACAAAAGCGTGGTAAAACCCCAATGCGCCAGTAAAATGTAGGCAGTCCTTTCGAACGAATAGCGATCGACGTGGCTGGTCCTTTCCCGGAGACGAACGATGAAGATCAGGGAAGAAACTTTGAGTCCAATCTGTTCCAAGGCGTCTGTGAAGTTCTTAACATCCGCAAGACCAGGACGACTGCTCTGCATCCACAATCTGATGGGATGGTTGAACGCATGAACAGAACCATCAACCGTTATTTGGCTAAAGTAGTCTCTGACCACCATAGAGACTGGGACAAATTTCTTCACCTGTTCCTGTTGGCCTACCGTTCATCCGTCCAAGAATCTACAGGGCAAACTCCAGCCAGCATCGTTATGGGACGGGAAGTGCGCCTACCTTGTGATCTGAAGTTTGGTTGCCGACCGGGAGAAGATGTCGCTGGAGAAGATTATGTCCACGCACTACGTCAAAGGATGGACGAGATCCATCAGCGAGTCCGCCTGAATATTCAAAGCGCTAGTGACCGAATGAAGGAACACTACGACATTCAAGCTGAGCATGGGGGATACCAACCAGGGAATTTGGTGTGGCTGTACAACCCGCAGAGACGTCGTGGATTATCTCCGAAGCTACAATTCTCGTGGGAAGGCCCATACGAAGTCATGGATAAGATTAATGACGTCGTATACCGTATCAGAAAATTGTCAAAAGAAAAACCGAGGATAGTTCATTTCAACCGTTTGAGCCCCTACCAAGGCGAAATAGAAGATCGTGCTGGGACCGTGAGAACCTGCAGCTTTGACCCCCCTGATTCGGAGATGTCCTTTGATAGTTTCATAGCCCGATACAACAGCAGTGAGAAGGCTCGCTATGGTGTGACCAAAGAAGAACAACGAGACCTCTTCTCCGTGCCTCCTGATTATTCGCTCGCTCACTGTGTGACCCGAGATTTGCGGATGTCCAGAGGAATCGCTGCGACGTTCAATGAGAAGTTTGGGTGTGTCGGAGAACTACGCCGACAGGGTCCAGAGGTTGGAAGCGTCTTGAGGCTAACCGACAATGAACATGGTCAAGCAAGGCACATTTTCTACCTTGTCACCAAGGAATGGTTCCCAAGTAAGCCGACTTATCTCAATCTATGGAAGACCCTGATTGAACTGAGAGAAGCCCTGCTAAACAACAACCTTACACGATTAGCCATTCCGAAGCTGGCATGTGGACTCGATGGTTTGAGTTGGCGTACAATCCGGAACATGATTGAAGTCTTGTTCAGATTTACGGGAATCGAGATCCTCGTTTGCTGCTAAAACCAAGAGTTGAGATTGGGAGAGAAAACTGTAGACTGCTATTTCTACCAGACTTCTCAATGTACCAGGGGCCAGCTTTGCAAATACCTTCATTCACCGTGTACATCTCGGGACGAGCATGTACCTAAGAAGGGGGCAGTGTTGCGGACCCGTGTGGACTCGACCTAACCTAACTATATGTCCCGCCCTCAGATGACCTTAACATCGCATTAAAGAATAGACACCGTAATGATTCATTCGTTCGAGAAGAATCGAGTCCCACTGGAATGGAGTAGTACATACGAGAACATTCGAAACCTTCTCTATGCACCTAACGATCTATGGACTATTCTAGAAATCTTTAGCTGTAGGTATAAAAGCCGGCGGCTGTGGCCTAGAGAGGGCAGTTATAGATAGACGAGTGCAGTTGACGCGCTAAAATTCAAAATAAATTCTTAGTTATAAATCGTTTGTAAATAGTTCTATAAGTCTTTTATCGTGATTGTTTTTGTTAATTAGTGTTAAATAAATAGTGTTTAAATAAATTGTGATTTTCTATCCACACGGAATCGACGAAAAACGTAACAAGATTTTAATGGCCAAACGTCAGCAAAATATTCCTTATTTTTGGACTAAATTTTCTCTAAAATAAAGACATAATTTAAAATTCCGTTACAATACGGAAATAGATTGAAGTTTTGTGATTACAGTGATATATAATTTATATGGTTTTGTAACAAATTGCACGCTATTTTATGGCAAATGCTGAAGCTCTGCAAACCTTAATCAAGCCTTAATCAGAGCACGTTTGTTTGGAATTTTGGGTGTGGCTTAACACGACAGAATCGGGCTAAGCCTTAGGTAGATTTCTGAAATATAATATATATTTCCTTCGGCCACACGCCCGCTTTACCCGACCCCTGAGAGCGACCCGACCAGTACAGCGTAATAGACTCTTAAACGCAAATATTCAAAAACAAGCAAAAATTAACAGCTGGTACTGAATGAGCTGTGCCTGTAGGTATAAAACGTACTCAAATTGTAAACCTACTGATGTAAAAAAGTGTACTTACTTGATGTGTAGATAGTAAGCTCAGCTTAATAAGTTTGAGTTGATAGGGAACCAATGAAATCACCTTGAAACCTAAGTATTTATGTCCTGATGTATGCTCTAACCATGGTTTTTCTATGACTTCTAAGATGTTTTGCAGTCTGACTCCAAAATATCCTTCCTTGTAATACCCTGGACCTATTTTAATGAAATTATTATTTTCCGTTATATGAATTATTATTTTTCTTTTTTTATTTTGCAATTTTATATAGCTTGTATACAGGGTCCCAATTTTTTTTTGGACTTAATTAATGCGTATTTTTGATAATAATCTAGTTGGCGAAAATATTGAGTCTTCTGTCAGTGTCACAAATAAAATATCATAATAAACTTATTCACACATTTTAAATCAATTAACCTTTGCGTTTATTTTTGACTGTTGCACGGTTTCATTCTTGTTTCATTTGAAGGCAACGGTTATTGGAACATCCTGTATAAAATATACAGGGTGTCACAGAAATAAGTGCAAGTATTTTAAGGGGTGGTAGATCTCGATAAAAGAAACATATTATATTTTCCCTTTATCGTTTTTCAAACAAGCCCAAAATAACGGAGTTTTTTTTTACTTTTAAAATTTCAAAAAAAAATGATTTTTTACTCAAATTTTGAGAACCGATCCAGTGGTTCTGTTTTTTTCTGGATTTCCTTTCTTGTAAATTTAATCTACTACCTATGTTGCCATATTATCAAGAAATTATGTTTTTTTAACTAAAAACTAAAATAAATTCCAAAATTTTTTGCAAAATTTTTTTTTGAAATTTTGGAAATTTTTTTTTTCGACAAAAAAACCTTATAGGCGTGTTTCTGTGGTTGAACTATACTACCAGTTAAAATACTTGCACTTATTTCTGCCACACCTTGTATAATCTACATATTGTATAATAATAAGTATTTACCATTGGTTAGAAAGTAGCCTGGTTTAAATGTCTGTCTGTTTGACACTTCCAAATCGTACTGTACTGATATAGGAGCTGAAAAAATATATTTAAATTAAATTTAAACCTTTTTTTAACCTATTTACAACTTCTGACAAGCAGCGTCCCACAGTGGGGTATTTGACACTGATAGTTGATCGAAATTTTTTTATGTAGACCTTATATAAATTATTGCTATTTTCAATTAAAGAGGAAATAATATGAACAAAATAAAGGATAATTCGTCGATTCTAAAAAAAGAAAGAAATATCACTGTTCCAGTGTTTCCACGGTCAGTGCCAGTAGTAATATCGCAACTACTACTACTAATGTTACGACTGATCCGCGAACAATGCCCATACCACTAAAGTCGCTACTAATGCCAAATTGTGCTATACTGCTAATGGCACTAATTCGATCGCTTTGTACAGAACAATGCCATCGCGGTTTACACCTCGCATTAGTATATCACTGATTGGCAAATTAGAGGAAACCAAGAATGTTTTTCTCATTTTATCAGCAAAATCGCAAAAAGTCGCAGTATTTTATTTTACAGTATGAAAGCCCAATGTTTACTAAGTAAAACGTATATAGACAATATGCTGAATTCTTCGAAATGCGCAACTAAATCTCTAAGTATAATAAAAATGTCACAAATTTAATCAAATTTTCTGAACGCCTAACTTTTAGTTGCAAAAAAATCGTTAGTATAGAGAATATCAAAATAAATAATAGGTTTTTAGAATACATACCTGCAGCTTGCTGAGCCATTTTCAATCAAAACGACAATATAAACGTAAAAAGAGCACAAGAACAACAACAATTTATAATTTTAAACATAAAATTTAGCCATTTACCTCTTATTGCTCTTATCTGTGAGAAGTAACAACTTTGACGTTTCGTTGAAACAAATGAATGCATCTAAACACACCCATAGCAACGCCATTCATGGCAGAGATGATTTAACTTATCATTTATCTATTTTTGGGAAATCTTAAACACATTTGCTTTTTCGAATTTCGATCACCTTTTTCATGCTAATACCCCACCGTGCGTCCGTTCAGGTTTAACGCAGAAGTGTTTACCAAAAATAACTATTTTATTTTGTAGCTTTTTCTTGCAGTGCAGTGGCGAAAAACCCATAAAGGATTTTTTTGGATATATTTAAACCTATTCAACCATTAATGTTATTGACTATTGACGCGTGATTTTTTGTAAATAAATGATTCCAAATTAAGATTTATTTTGTAGTATAGCAAAATAAAAGCCAATTTGAACATTGTGTGTATATCTGAATGTCAAACCTGAAAACAAGATGCTGCTATATTATTATTAGATTAGATTTTTACAAATTGTAAGTTTTCGATACTTTGAAGGGCTATTAGAGCCAGTGGCGTAGCGTGGGTTAGGGTCGCCCGGGGCGGAGTGACTCTAGGAGAGAGGATTGCCGCCCCTACAGATTCCGTCCGCCGCCCTAATAACAATTTTTTGTCGCTCCGCAGGTACTTGGAGGGTCGACGCCCGGGGCGGTCCACCCCCACCGCCCCCGCCTTGCTACGCCACTGATAAGAGCTACAATTTAAAAATATTTTTACAAGATACAGATTGTCCCAAATAAATAAAAAGTATCAAAGTTGTTTTTTTTTAAAATGGAATACCCTGCATATTATTACATTTTTTGTTTCTGCCATTAAAATAAAGGTAAATTTGATTAAGGTTTACTGCATTTTAATCTTACCGTTTTTGATATATTTAATTATTTAAGTTTATAAAACCAAATATTGAACTGAAGTATTTTTATTTACTAAATTTTATGTTGCAATAATATAAATTATAATAAATAAAAAATAATTACTATAGCTTTAAACGGCAATAACTTGTTTAATTTAAACGGAACACCCTTTATATTTTATGAGAATCAGATGCACAATTTAAGTGTCTATCAAATTGTATTATACGATTTTTTACCTATCTCTTCAAGTTTTCGTAGAAAATGCATTTTCTTATAATTTAGACCTCATTTATCAATAAACCCATGGAATATTAACATTTTAAATTATTTTTAAGGATGTAACAAATTTTTAAAGAGCACAGAAAAAAATAAAAAAAACTGTTTAAATATTTGTGAAAGAGGACCAATTAATATGATTCCAGTATTCAAACTACATTAATTGACTGTTTGCGCTGATTAATAATAATTGCTCCAAATACTAAAAAAATGAATTTTGTATGTGTATTGGACAGTGTGGTAAAAAGTAACACTTTAGTAACACCTTAAAAATGTATGTATTTCATTGTTGACGAATGTTTATAACAACAGAGACGTTGATTTTCATAACTTATTATTATATTGATTTATGATTCAAATCCACATTTATTTAGAATAATTTATTAACTAACACCAATAAGTATGTAATTATTAATATTTGGGCGGAAATAATGGTAGTATATTTAATTAATGGTATACTTTTTATGAAGATTTAAATAGTTTTCTGTTTGTGGTGAACAAATGAACTAGTAATATTATCGTTTTTAGTACCTGTACATTTTGTACATTTGTTGTTTAAAAACAATCTAAAATGTCAATATTCCATGGGTATATTGATAAATGAGGTCTAAATTATAAGAAAATACATTTTGTACGAAAACTTGAAAAGATAGGTAAAAATGGTATAATACAATTTGATAGACAATGAAATTGTGCATCTGATTCACATAAAATATACAGGGTGTCTCATTTAAATTAAACAAGTTATTGCCGTTTAAAGCTAGTAATTATTTAATATAAATTTTTGGACACTCTGTATAAGGTAGTATAATTTTTATTATTGCAACACAATATTTGAACAATAAAAAATAATCTTCAGTATATATTTCGTATTAAAAACTTTGATACCCTTGGAGAAATAAACCCTTAAATTTACTGCGATTTTACAATATTGAAAATATTTCAAAAACGGTAAGGTTTAAGTGTGATAAACCTTAATCCAATTTACCTTTATTTCAATCGCAGAATCTAAAAATAGAATAATATACAGGGTGTTCCATTTAAAAAAAATACAACTATAATATTTTTTTCTTATTTGGGACACTCTGTATCTTGTAGAGTTATTTTTAAATTGTAGCTCTAATAGTCCTTCAACGAACCCAAAACTCACAGAAAACCGTGATCATACCATTCACCAGAAGAAGGAAAACAGACAAACTGAAACCGCCCATTCTTCTTGGTGAGACAATTCCGTTTGCGGAGGAAGTTAAGTATCTGGGATTAAACCTGGACAAAAAACTTAGCTGGACCTCTCATCTGGAAAAAACATCAAAAAAGGCTTGCTATGCTCTATGGGCATGCCGCCGAATTTGTGGTAGACACTGGGGATTAAACCCCCAAAAAATATGTACTGGCTATACGTGACGGCCATCAGACCTATTATCACGTATGGTGCAGTTGCCTGGTGGCAGAAAGCCAACCAAATAACGGCAAAGAATAAATTGTCGAAACTACAACGACAAGCATGCCTAGCGGTGACTGGTGCCTTCATTCCACGCCGTCAAAAGCTATGGAAACCCTACTCGATCTACCTCCTCTTCAAATTCTTTTGGAAAGAGAGGCGAGATGGGCTACATATAGGTTTCTAAATATAGCACGAGGAAGCCAAGGAACAATTATGTTCATACAAAACCGGCTAGTAGAAGAGCTACAGTCGGATGAGATTCTGGGAATGATCTCGGATCTTACACCACCAGTCCAACTCTTGACGCGCACCTACAACGTCCTGTTTCCGAACAGGACGAGGGACAAGCCGGGAAGCGGCTTATTACATGCGGAAATGTGTTGGTACACGGACGGATCCAAAAACGAAAAAGGATCTGGCGCAGGAATTTACTGCAGCAGTCCAAAGACTGAGATCTACCACAGTCTTGGAAAACACACCACGATCTTCCAAGCTGAGCTATATGCTATTGAAACCTGTGTGCAACTGCTGGTAGAACAGCAATACACCGGGAAAACAATATGCATATTTTCGGATAGTCAAGCTGCGCTGAAAGCACTTGAGGCAACGAAAAGCACGTCTATGACGATTCTTCATTGTAAGAAACTACTCAATATACTGGGAGATAGGAACAAAGTGTCGCTAATATGGATACCGGGACATGTCGGCCTAGAGGGAAATGAACGTGCTGATTCCCTCGCCAAAATTGGTGCAGGCGCGCCATTCGTGGGGCCAGAACCGACACTTAGCGTTCCAAAAATCTCGCAAGAGACAGGCTCTGTGAATGGGTTAGGGGGTGAGACATTCCGAGACTGGAATGACAGTCCCGGAATGGAGCATGCCAAGAAAATTCTAGCAGGGCCATCCAAACATAGAACAGAGAACTCCTAAAGGCCGGTAGGAATGGAACGCGTGTGCTCACTGCAGTGTACACGGGCCACTGCCGGCTGAGATCTCACCTGCAGAGGACGGGACTGGTGGAAGACGCCGAATGCCGACTCTGTATGGAAGATGATGAAACAATGAAGCACGTTATGTGTACCTGCCCCGCTGGGAGCAGGACCAGGTTTGAGATGTTTGGCAAACCCATGCTAGACCTATCAGACCTAGGAGACATATCGCCCTCAGACATAACGGCCTATATTAAGAGGCTGGGTCTTGAGGATGAACTTTGACGCTCTTGTAAATTAGAGCTTGTAGAAACTGAGCCACAATAGGCCCTCGCGGCCTCAGTGGAGGGTCCCCCTTGGGACCCACTCTTAGTCAAATACAATACAATACAATACAATAGTCCTTCAACGAACCCAAAACTCACAATTTGTAAAAATCTAATCGTTTAGCTACAATACTCCGTGTCGTGTGCGGTGAACAACCCTGTATTTATTGAAACTCGCATTTCGCATTGAGAAATATTTTAATATAGGAAAACTGAAGCGCGATTTTTACTTGTTCCAAATGTTAAATTTTGATTTTACTTTTTTCAAATTTAAGTAAACAAATAAATATGAAAATATAGTTGCAATTTTTATAAGGTCAAAGAAATGACTTGGTCACAAAATTTTTTGATCGTTTGTTACTCACATTCCTTCACTCCCAGGAACGATCCAATCCCATGACCACTCTCGTGCAAGTAATCCAATCCCATTTCCCACAATGGACCCCTGGCCAAGACGTCCACGTGCGCCATCTTCATGTTGTTAGGGAAAGTGAGCGAATTGAACGTCATCTGACCAACCAGGACGCGAGTATATGCCTCCGTCATCAGGTCGTCCGGTTTGCCAAAGTGCAGAGTTCGTGTGACGTCAGTTGTGCCCTCTAGGGATGAAAATAGTGAAAGTTTTATGAAGAGGTAATAAGGTAAGTGGAGTAGTCTATTTACTTATTTATAAATAATAGAGCTTAACTTGTCAGTGGCTAGAACTGTTTATTATGCACTTTTTGAGTCGCACCTCAGGTATGCCCTTCCATTCTGGGGTGCGTGTTGTGCGGCTCAATTTGACCGCATTTTCAAGCTCCAGAAGAGAGCTGTTCGATATTCACTGGGACTAAACAGCAGAACTCATTGCCGGGGCTTTTTTAGAGAATTAAAAATATTGACTCTTCCTTCCTTATTTATATTTGAATCCGTTTGCCTAATACGTAAACATGTACCAGCTTCTCAAGAAAGGCCATCTCACACTTATCCACTCAGGAACGCGGAGCAAGATCTTTATCTACCTACCCCACGCTCAGAGTTAGTTAAAAGTTCAATATTATACAACTCGAAAAAAATGCACAATCACCTGCCATTTGAAATCAAATCCATAACATCATTTTTATCATTGAACTCTTATTTACTAGACAAGGCTTTCTACGCCGTAAATGAATTATATTTGAATTGAAAATCGAATTTGATCTTGAAAACACTGGTCTAATGTTTGCTATTGCTATATTTACGAATGACATCGAAATTAATTTATTTAGAGGTCATTGATATTTTGCTATAAATTGGCTAAATATTTTTGAATATTATTTTAATTTTTTTTGTTCTTTGACATTGTAAACATTATATATGTTTATTTTAACAATAAGACTGACAATATTATTTGTATAATGTTTTGTATTATCTTTTGTTTGTTTGTTTGTGTACCTTGTTATTTTTTACTTTGTTTGTTAGTTTACCTTTGTCCACAAATTGAAAAATTTTTTGACAATAAAGGCATTTATTTATTTATTTATTTATTTATTTATTTATTTATTTATATGGGTTAGAGGTATATAGTTCGTGAACGAACTAATTCCACTGAACTATTCCGACCCCGGAATGAAAGGAACTAGTTCCCTTTTTCTCAAAGAACTAGTTCCTCAGAACCTATTCCGGGATCGAGACTGTGACCGATATACAATACGGCGACGGATCGGCCAGCGCGATCTTAGCCCTATGCTAGGCGGGAGTGCAGAGTGCCAGTCGTATGTTACCTATCCCGGACCGAAAGGACTGAAAGGAACTAATTAAAAAACTAGTTCACGGGAATCTGTTCAGTCGGCAGATCCGAGATATAATACAAGACGACAACGATCGATTCGGCCTTGTCTATTGCCACAGCCGGCGTAATTACCACAGAAAATTGCCGTGGATACTGTTTTTGATTTTTATTTTGTTCTTTGATTATTTTATGGGGATGTTTCACTTTAGGTCCCTAAATTAAGAAATCTATACTAATATATAAAATCCTTAAGTGACTAGCTCACTGATTAATCACGATCTTGGTCAAACCACTCAATATAAGAAGTTCAATTTTGGCATACAGGTTGATTCTAGGGTGTAGAGGGTCGATAAGAAGGGATTTTTCGAAATTCCAGTTCCAAGGGGGTGATACCACCCCTCAAATATTACAATATTTTTTATTAAAAAAAACGGTCAAGTTTCCGAAAAAACGCTTAAACACGTATATTTTTGTTATTGTTTTTTACATATTTTAAGATTTTTTAAAATGTATACAGGGTGTTTCGAAAAATCGCTTGACGTAAAAAGCTGATTTTTAGAAAACGGATTGACTTTAGGGTGTAGAGGTTCGATAAGAAGGGATTTTTCGAAACTCGAATTTTAATGGGGTGAAACCACCCCTCAAATATTAAAATATTTTTTATTTAAAAACCGGTGAGTTTTTCGGAAAAAAACTCTTAAATACGTATATTTTATTTTGTTGTTTTACATATTTTAAGATTTTTAAAAATTTATACAGGGTCTTTTATAAAATATGACTATTGAGTAATCACGATTCTGCTTAAACTGCTTGTCATTTAAAGCTGATTTTTGGCAAACAGATTGACTGTGGGGTGTAGAGGTTCGATAAGGAGGGGTTTTTCGAATCTCAAATTCAAAGAGGGTGAAAACGCCCCTCAAATATTACAATATTTGTAATTTAAGAAACGGTTAGTCTTTCGGGAAAACGCTTCGACACGCATAATTTATTTTGTTTTTTTACATATTTTGAAATTTTTTAAAAAATCATACAGGGTGTCACAACAAAAAGTTGGATAATAGATTAATCACGATTCTTCTTAAACTGCTTGACGTAAAAAGCTTATTTTTGGCAAACGGATTTTTCAAAAGTCAAATTCCAACGAGATGAAACTACCCCTCAAATATAACCAAGTTATGTAATAATATCGCCATATTGTTTTTCCTCATGCTGACATAAATGTGAGAAAATTTTATCCAGTTTGTATGTTAATGGAAATTCTTGCTTTGCTTTATCATCACCATTACAAATGATTAATTCGACGCGAACGAAGTCGCGGGTACACGCTAGTATCTTATAAAGCGAAGTAGATATTCTGAATTTTTAGATAAAAACAAAAAGCTTGAAGTGAGGAAAAATGCAATTTTTCGGAAAATTCTCGTATATTTGCTGCAATTGATTTGTGATATAGTTTTTTAAACTCTTTCTAAAAGCTTCTTTTTTGTTTTTTTTATCTGTAATAAAACTTACCTATATGTTTTTAACATACGCAATTACACGTCTCGTTATATTTTGTACATTATATAAATTATACAGGTCATACTGTGAATAGTTCTGACTGACAACAAAAACCATTAGTAAGCAACGGGGAACGGGGATATCAATGTTAGTCGGGAACTACTGTGAACTAAATACCTAGTCCAAGGAACTATTTCTCTAGAGGAACTAGGACTAAGGAACTAGTTCCTCCCAAGGAACTAGAATTACCACCCTTTATATGTGTAGCGAATCCGCGATACGATGTGCTAAGCATAATAACATTTTCAGAGTTAGCTATTGGCTAAAATATACTTAAACACCCTGTACTTACCGTAATATTGGCCTCCAGACTCTATGACCAATGTACCGTTGTTAAAAATACGACTGTTGGTATTTTTGGTGGGGATATAGTGGGGTTGGGCACTGTTGGGACCGAATCCAACGATCGTACGGAAGCTATTCCCTAAGCTCTGGTTCTGTTCGTAACGGAAAGCATCCAAGATGTCTGCCAATATTGCTTCGGTGAATACACGCCCTGTCGACATCTAGAAATCAGAGAACGATCTTATTATACAGGGTGGTCCGAACTGTATTCCGGAAACTTCGGCAGCATATTCTGCAGAGAAAAATAAGTAAAAAAGTTCGTATAAATGTTTTCCTTAAAATGCTTAGTTTCGGAGATACAGGGTGTAGAAGTTTCATTTTTATTTCGATTTTTTCGAAATAATTTTCGAAGTAAGATCGATATTTGGATGAAAATTGGTATCTGGGAGTTTTTTGACATGAGCAATTTGATTTTGATGTCAATATGACTGCTATTTGTATGGGGCGCCACCTACACGTGTTTTAACTGTTTTGAAGGGTTTTTAATAACTTTTCGTCCGTACCTGTATGAAACTACCGAGTAAAAAAATATACATCTCCGTTACTTTTTGCCTAAAAAATGTCTCCTGGTAAAAATCGCTACGAGCAACCGTTCTCAAGAGATTTAGAGTGGAAATAGTCAATACGAGGCTGGGCTGAGAAATAATCGGCCTCGGCAAGAGTTGGCGGCGCTAGGAACAAATGCAATTGTTTTTCGTAAAAACTATGTTTCAAGTGACTTCTGTCAAATTTTCAGCGAGCTGCGTCACTTAGTTTGTACTTGACAGTGATTGAAGGCGAACAGATTTTGCATTTTTACAAAAATGAATAAAATCGAATATCGCGCAGTGATTAGATTCTTGTTTTTGAAAAAGAAAACGAAGGATGAGATCAAAATCGAACTGGATGATGTGTATATTTAAACGCGGTCGTACGATAATTTTTGATGATGGGTGTCCAGGTCGTCCAAGAGAGGTCACCACACCAGAAGTGGTCGATAAAATCCATGGTATGGTAATTGACGATCGACGGGTAAGAGTGTGCGAGCTTGCTGAGGCTGGGGGCATCTCACGTGAACGAGTGGAGAATATATTGCACGAATATTTGGAAATGAGGAAGCTCGCTGCCAGATGGGTGCCGCATTTCCTCAATGCCGACAACAAGCGAAACCGTGTGACAACTTCAAAGAAGTGTTTAGCAATGTTTAACCACAATAAGAAGGACTTTTTGCGCCGTTTTGTAACCGTGGATGAAACTTGGATCCATCACAATACGCCAGAGACGAAGGAACACTCAAAGCAGTGATGGGTTTCTCAGGGCGAGTCAAAGCCAAAGAAAGCCATATCGATTACCTTGAAAAGGGCAAAACGATCACCGGCGAATATTACTCAAAGCTGTTGGACCGATTCGACGCCGATTTGAAGCAAAAACGACCGCATTTAGCGAAGAAGAAAGTGCCCTTCCACCAGGACAATGCACCGGCGCATAAATGTGCAGTCGCAATGGCAAAACTGTATGAATTGCATTACGAATTGGTTCCTCATCCGCCATACTCCCCAGATTTGACGCCCAGCAAAACAGATATGTTTCCAGACTTGAAAAAATGGCTCGGTGGTAAGAGATTTAAGTCGAATTGGGAGGTCATCGCTGCGACAGAGGCCTATTTTAAGGACTTCGAAAAATCGTATTATTCGAAGGGCATCGAAAAATTGGAGAATCGTTGGACAAAGTGTATAGAGCTTAACGGGGACTACGTTGAGAAATAAATTGAGTTTTGCCGAAAAAAGTTGGGTTTTCTTACCTAGGCCGATTATTTTTCAGCCCAGCCTCGTACATGTCATTATTGAAAAAAAATAAACACATTGAGTAGATAGTTATTTGAATGAAATAATAAATTTGGGATTTTTTTTATTTTTTCCAATTAATCATAAATTTTTCTGCGAAGAAATGATGAAGAAAACAGTTTCTGTTGAGCTTTTGGCACAAAAACATTTGAAATTAATGATTTCAGTCTAATAACTATTTAGTCTCTCAACATGTTTATTTCGTGTCAATAGTGACAGGTATTGATAATTTCGATTCCAAATATCTCGAGAACCATTACCCGTAGCGATTCTTACCAAGAGACATTTTTTACGTAAAAAACGTCGTAAATATATATTTTTTTACTCAGTAGTTTTATACAGGTACGGACGAAAAGTTATTACTCTACAAACCGGTTAAAAAATAAGTAGGTAATCTACTTGTAGAGGGCACAAGTAGGAGTCATATTGACATTAAAATCAAATTTCTCATGTCAAAAAACTCCCAGTTCTACACCCTGTATGTCCAAAAATTAAGCATTTTACGGCTTAGATTTTGTATACCGAACGGCTCTAGTATGGCAAGCTGTACCTTATTGCTACTCCCAAGGCGTTAAACGCTATATACGGGAGCTATTATTTTAGGTATATACTTATTTTTAACCGCAGAATACGTTGCCGAAGTTTCCGGAATACAGTTCGGACCACCCTGTATATAGATTATTCGAGTTTAGACGGTCATATTACACTGATGCGAAATGAATTTAAGTGACTTGATCAGTTGACTTTTAGCTCGTGAAAAAGTGCTTTAAGAATTAACTGACTGTTCACGTGAAGCCTTATGTCGTCTTTAAGAATCCATTTCACTAGTCCGAAAAAGTAGCAAAATAAGCGTTCGGCATTTAACGTTTTGTGTAAAACTGGCTAAGTATTTTTACACAGATGAGGAAGGAAATTAAAGATAAAGGATTATACTATATCCGTATTGTAGCACATTTTTAGATAACTTCTTTATTTTCAAGATTTCGAAGTTCAAACATCAATAAAATATTCCTTATGTTTCGACTAAATTTTCTCGAAAATAAAAACAATTTAAAATTCCGTTACAATACGGAACTAGATTGAAGTTTTGTGATTACAGTGATATATAATTTATTTGATTTTCTAGCAAATTGCTCGCTATTTTATGGCAAATGCCGAAGCTCTGCAAACCTTAATCAAAGCACGCGTGTTTGGAATTTTGGGAGTGGCTTAACAACACACACACAGGATCGGGCTAAACCTTAGGCAGATTTCTGAAATATAATATATATTTAATTCGGCCACACACCCGCTTTACCCGACCCCTGAGAGCGACCCGAACAGTACAGCCTAATAGACTCTTGAGGTCTTTATGTTACATCGTAACCATTTTTTTTTAGAACAAAAAAAGATTTCCACTTTACCTGTTTTTCTATATATGCAAAAAAGTCGCACATCGCAGCGGCATCTTTGATGTTTGCCATTTTCATGCCTTCAATTTCCACAGAGTTTTTCACCGCTTTCAAGTAAATAATTGGCGATTGTTTTGGCAGTCTTCTGCTGGGGAAAATATGTTCGTATATCGCATGGCTTGCCCCCTCGCTGTACACGCAATGAGAAGGTACCAAAATCTTCTTGTAGCGCTGTGATTTGGTTCGTAAGTCTGGCCAAATATCTGAGTAATTTCTGAGCCTGAAAAAAATAAAGATTTAAATCTAAGCCGTGTGTTGATCTGTGTGAATCCCATGTCCATCCAATTTTTTAAAACGACGAAAAAAAGTTCCCTATTTTATTTATAGGAAAAACTTATTTGAAACTTTAGATCTGCAAGACCAAGACCGACAGTGCAAGACTTACGCAAGACCAAAACCAAAAATAAACGGTAAAATACGAGAGAAAAATCATTGGGTGGCTTTGATAAAAATTTACTGTTGAAAATGCCAAATGAAATATCAAACCGCGAATATCTGCGAAACCGTTAAAAATTTTAAAATACTCTAAATACAAAAAAATGTGTATTTTTTAATTGTCTATCTATTGAAAAAATAATATACATTGTGTACCATTTAAAAAAAATAAGAAGAAAAATTATTTTATATTTTAGAAAGTTTGGCGTAGAATTTTGGACATCCTGTATGATTTACGATTACCATATTTATAGCAAAGTAAGTGCAGACCATCTAAAGTAAATACCTACCTAATATAGTTTTGATTTCAGGACATTTCTACTATTTTTAAGAAAGGATGAAAAATGTATATTTTTATAGTTATTTAATAATATCTCAGAAACTCATATCTTAGGATTATGTAAAGTGACCTGAAAGGAAGCCAAAAATGCAATAATATACAGGGTGTTCCGTTTAAAAAAAAACATCCCGATCCACTCGTACTTTTTTGAGCCACCCTATAGAAGTTAAAATATTTTCCTGAAATACATCCTAGTACATACTTTAGATCTGCACTTAAACAAAATTTCCAAGTTTTTTATTCTAGGAGCTACAGATGCCCGACGCACTATTACCGAACCCTGTATATTGTATTATCGAAAAAAAAACGGCGGCAATTTGGCTTGGAAATGACGATCGATGATACTTTTTACCCGAAACAGCGTTACATCCCACAAACCTCGTATCTGAGGGTTTTATAGTTTCAATAACTGCACTAGCAAAAAGCTAAAATATTTAATATTATGACAAAGCCACGATTTCAATATTATTTTAATGCGATCAACATGAACTGCAACCGGGACGCGACGGCTTGAAAAACAGAGCGAAAACCTCTGACTTCTGCCGTTCGAGCGCTTTGATCGAAATTTTTAAAATCAACTGGTATTCACCAAGCTTATAACAAAATACTTACTGTACTGTGTCGTAATGCCTGAATGAAGATTCCGCGTGCAGATATCTGAGAACTTCATTGGTCACCAATTGGCTGGCATTGACGTACATGAAAATGTTGTCCATGTCCAGGAAGAGGTAGCTCCTCACAAAGGGCGAGAATGGGGTATCTCTCCCTCTAATGTTCAGCAACCAAGCAATTTCATCCAGAGCAGTTACGACCATTGCTTCGGCGCCGGCCTTTTTCACCTGCCTCCGTACTTCTTCCAATTTTGTACTGTAATTTTTACCTGAAAAACTAAAATATTGTAGTTTTTACCTGCCTGTAACTAAGAGAAATAGTAAACTACACCATAATTGGAAATGGTTGAATAAACTGAATGTTGTTTTTAAATTGAATTGACATAATTGACATAATTTCGTGTTTTTAAACTCTCCTGTATATGAAATAACAATAACATACATAATTATTGACAATGTTACTTTAAATTAAAACATTTTCTTCAAGAAACAATATTTCTGAGCAACTTATTTTGTTTACCAATTTGTTTCTTTGTCCCACTGTATGTTTCTGGGTTTTACCTGTATATTTAATGTCCAACACAAATGCGTCTTTCGTCCTCATCTGTCCTCTTTCTTCTTTAGGCCAAATTTCGTCGACCAAACTAACATTCAGAGCTATCAGCTCTATTTTGGAGTTATTCAGTTCTTGTTTGAACTGGTTCCACGTGTATTCGGACACTAGTTTGGGGTTCACCCCCAGCCTGGCTCCATTTGGAAAATGAGTTTTTAACCAGTGAGATCTGTAGAGAAAGAAAGAACTATTTTATTATACCTTCATTAGGCTATTTGGTAACAGTTGCATATACGGTTTTCGGCTATTTTTTGTATTATATGGAAAAAAAATTATATACTCACATTCTATTGACCTTACAGATTGCAGATATGCTGGGGGAGAAGACAAATTATGTTACTTTAAGTATTTTTTCAACCAAACAAACTCCGGGACCGGGGAGCGAATAGGGGTGCTGGGTGGGGTAAAAGTGTACAAACTGGGTAAAACATGACATACAAATATAGAAAAATTGAGAAAATATAGACTATGCACGGAATTTCAAAATATTTTAGTTTAAAATTTGACACATATTTGACGTTATGAGAATTTCAACACTTGATTTGACATGACACCGACAGAAGGGAAAGCAATGTTGCCAGTCCCACTGAATTTTCTATAAAATGAAGTGTCTATTCTAATCTTTGAATAAGAAGACTAAGGAAGGAGCATATCAAAAATCTTAGGTACACCGCGATGGGCCTCAAATATGGCCGACTTAAATTCCGGTTTATCAGTGTCGTTCTAATTTTATTTAAAAAATGTAAAACTATGATGTAGGGCTTCAGTAGAGCAGGTAAGTCAAATTAACGTATCTAAATTCTTTGACATCTAATCTTTGACAAGTAATAAATAAAAGCTAAAATGCAAGAAAAATATATAATTTAGTTAATTTAAGTGAATTTCATAAATGATCGGTTTACTACACGTATGTATATTATATAGTCACTTACTAGCGAAAAGTTGTTCCATTATTTCACTCAATTTTTGCCGAGATCTACCGCACGCTACACAACCAACTATTTTAGAGTCTTTTTCGATAAATCGCGATAGTGTCACTGTTAATTTAAGTGCTGCCACAATTTCCATCTAGATTTACTACCTTTATACAACTATCAGTAGTAGAATAAATAATAAATAACATAAAATAAGCTCCGTAAAGACTGACAAATCCACAAATTCAAATGTGTCAAATGAATCGTCAAACAGAACTGTCAAGGATCCCCACCCTAGAGTGCTTTTATGGTGCTTTTTCCGTCCACCATGCATGAATACATGGATAGCATTATGCTCCTTCCTTAGTCTTCTTATTCAAAGATTCTAATGCTGTTGAGACAAACATAAAGAGCTTGAGTTGAGGAAAAATGTAATTTTGGTAAAATAAGAGAAAACATTTTCTAACCTACGAAAAAAAAACAAAGAATCAAACCAACAAGACCAACTCAATCTAAACCAAAACCAACAAAACCGCTATAACTAAGCAATTCTCTATACCGCTGGTGGCGATTTAGATAATATGTTAAACTAAAGTAAGTAAAATATTAAATAAAAACATTGACGTCATTTTTCCCTTTGAAAAAAAAGGATGCATGAAATTCACGACAATTTATTAGCTGATTTGGCAACTATGCATCAATTCACAATGTTTGTCAAAATTCACCCTTCAGCATATCCTTCAATCTTTGAATAAGAAGAGGTCTTAGGTATACCGCGTTGGGCCTCAAATATGGCCGACTTAAATTCCGGTTTATCAGTGCCGTTCTAATTTTATTTAAAAAATGTAAAACTATGATGTAGGGTAGACGTGGAGTAGACTCAAAAATTTGTTATTTTATTTTACGTTGTGAATAAATGTTGGTAGTTATTAAAATTGTTATAAAAATATATAATTCTAATAAAAATAGATAAGTTATAATAAGTATTTATTAACACAAACATCCGAGACGCTACTGAAGCAGGTAAGTCAAATTAACGTATCAAAATTCTTTGACATCTGATCTTTGACAAGTAGTAAATAAAAGCTAAAATGCAAGAAAATATATAATTTAGTTAATTTAAGTGAATTTCATAAATGATCGGTTTACTACACGTATGTATATTATATAGTCACTTACTAGCGAAAAGTTGTAAACTATTTTAGAGTCTTTTTCGATAAATCGCGATAATGTCACTGTTAATTTAAGTTCTGCCACAATTTCCATCTAGATTTACTACCTTTATACAACTATCAGTAGTAGAATAAATAATAAATAACATAAAATAAGCTCCGCAAAGACTGACAAATCCCCAAAATTTCAAATCAAATTCAAATGTGTCAAATGAATCGTCAAACAGAACTGTCAAGGATCCCCACCCTAGAGAGCTTTTTCCGCCCACCATGCATGAATACATGGATAGCATTATGCTCCTTCCTTAATCTTCTTATTCAAAGCCTTCAATGGAACCTGCCAATGATTTCTGAATAAAACAGTTCTTCATAGTTTTTTTGAAGAAATTTACATTAAAAGCTTAATTAAAGGATTGTAAAATGGTTGTGTTATGAGTATATTTAATCAGAATATTGTTTTTACCCCGCCCAGCACCCCTATTATTCTCTCCCCGGTCCCTTAAGTTTGTTTGGTTGAAAAAATACTTAAAGAAACACAATTTCTCTTCTCCCTCAGCATATTTGCAATTTGCAATCTCTAAAAACAATAGAATGTGAGTATATAAAAATTTTCTTATATAATCCAAAAATAGGCGAAAACCGTCTCTGCAACAATTACCGGCTATTTTACCTAAGAATCGGCAAAAATGGTGCCAAGACCGAGTTTCGTGCAAACCGGAGTAATGCTTTAAAAATTAAAATTAGAAAAAGAAAGAGGAATATTCAAGGAGGGCATACAGACCTTGTTGGAATGTTTTTATGTCCTTCTCTCATAAGTAACCAATTACAGTCTATTTGCTCATCGGCTTGGAGATGATATCTTCCATCTGTCCACAACGCTGCTTTGTCCATTGTGATGATTGCGTCTCCATAGCTTCCACTAAAACCAGAGATATATTCTCTTCTACGTTCGAATTCATCAACTTCAACACTCTGAAATGGATTGAAAATAATGATAACTAAATGTTCTGAAAATATTGGTTTGAAATCTTCTTATTCAAAGGTTAGGAGAAAAAAAATATGACGTATAATAGGTATATAAATCGAAGTTATTCTTTCTATGACTGAGAATTTTCACCCTTATTCATTGAAATTATGCACCCTCTCTGTTTTGCGTGGGAGTTTAAAATTAGAACTTGAAAGGGCAGTCATAGTAGGAGACCAGGTTTTCGGAAAGTAATATTGCCCCCAATGCCCCCACGCTTTTGATCCATCTGCTTTTATAACTTAACATAAAATTAGATATAATAAAAATTAACTACTGGGTTGATTTTTAGAAGACCTATGACATTGTGGTCCTATTATACAGAGTGAGTCTTAAATAAGTGCAAATATTTTCAGGGCTGGTAGATCTCGATAAAAGAAACATATTTTCTCTCTACCGTATCTCAAATAAGTCCAAAATAAACGAGTTATTTTACTTTGAAAATTTTCAATAAAACATGTTTTTTGCTTAAATTTTGAGAACCGCTGGATCTTTTCTAGGTTTTCTTTCTGTGCATCGTCAATCGTCATTGGAAACAGGAAATGCAATTTTTGAATTCTCCAAATATTGGCTCCACTGCACTGTTGACTTTACAGCGAAGTCGTGAATAGTTTTTTTTTGCATAGTTTCGCAATTTCGCATATGGTTTATTTGAAAATGTAACATGCAATTCATAACGACAATTTGACTCGAAATATCAAGTGTGTGGTACCAAATTATTCGTAAAAAATGTTTTTGTAAATATGCTAAGCAGCCACCTGCTTCGTTCCATTTGAAAAAATTGAAATATGGTTAAAAAACGATTTAGGCATATCTTAACCTGCTAGGACAAGACACGAAAAACATTAGACGATAAAATATATTTTTCCAAGGCTACTTGATTAAAAATTTGTGTTTTTAACACAGCCATGGCACTCTAGATTGAAATTTAAAATGCGATTTTTTAAAGAGAAAATGTTAACAGTTGAAATGTGATATTCTATTCAAGAGTGTCATTTTCTATCGAATAAAGTAAAAAAATACCGAGGGTGCTGTTTAAAAATCAAAAGCTGTGGTCATTTCCGGTGAAACAGGAAGTGACCGAAAAGAATTGAATACGTCAATCAATCCTAATTTATGTCATATACTAACGTACCAAATCTCGTTTTTTTATCTGAAAAAAATAAAAAAAAACTGCAACCTATATATGGGCTTGGACAAACTGGGTATATACATTATGTGGGGTGCGATTGTTATTTCTTTTTTATCTGTGTGCTCTAAAAGTACTTACCGACCTAAACCCACCTGGTGTTCGTCGCTAGAAGTTACTAGGTAGGCGTCTATAGGGATGGTACCCAGTCGTACTTCGGAACTCATTAGATTTCTTAATTCAATCAACCTACAATAGAAAGAATAATTTTCACTCTTCACAATATACTTCTGGAGAAACAATATTGTACTGATTATTCTGTGCTTTTTTTAAATTATTAGAAAATTTATGGTCTGGGCTATGTTCAGAGCGAGGGGTGTCTCACTATTGGAATTACATGTACATTTTCTTGGCAGTCGCTGGCAGTCATTGGCAGTCTTATGGCAGTCGCCTATAATAATTACATGGCCGTCATACGCAGTCTTCTTCGTAGTCATTGGCAGTCGCTTGACAGCGAAAGATTATTTTGGCAGTACGTGTACATTTTTTACCCGAGTGAGACACCCCTCGGTTCAGAGGCTCCAAATTAGTGGTGTAAATTAGTTTATTTTTTATTCATCTCAATAGCTTTATTATTTGGAGATATTCGCTTCTGAAGAAGACACTAATATTTTTTCTTAATTTTTACATTAATAATTTCGTAATTTTTACACCTCCGCTTTTGGCCCCAGTCAACAGACCTATGAAGTAATGTTTATGATTAATGTATGTCACTGTTATTGATTATATTATTGTCTGTTGGATGTTGGACAGTTACTATAGCAGAGATGGTTTTAAGGCCAGAAGTTGTATCCGCTATAGTTGCTTTAATTGAAGCTGATAGAGATCAAAATTGTATCGCTAACAGATTTAGGTGTGCACAAAGTACACGGTGAATCAACGATAGAGTAAAGTCCTACAGGGTGTTCATAGTATCTATAGGGTGTTCAAAATATATTTATGAGTTTCGACTACTTAAAATTAAAAAATCTCAAATTTTTTAAATGGTACACTCAATATATTTTCATTTTTTCTGATAGATTTTGCAAAGTAAAAAAAAAGTAAAAGTTGAAGAGCTTTTATTAAGTATATCATATACCTATTTTTAATAGTTTGCGATTTATTCCAATTTTTTCTATTTTTACCAATATCTTTAATGCAATTACGGTATAACATCATAGTTACCATGACAAAGAATAATAATTATCAAAATTCCATATGTCTGTTAAGCAAGTTAAGAACAAAACGTGAATGTTAATTTAATTTGTTGTAATGAGAATAAGTAGAAGGTAGAGATAATAGTTACAGATTTTCCTGAAAATGAATTAGTCAGTGTGACTGATATACACGAACAAGCCAAGATAAACATATTTTTTGGTTCAGTTCTACATATTATATAGTACTTTGCTAAGTACTATAAGAATAAATGTAGATTATCTAGAAAACATTTTCATATCATATTATTTACTACGAGAAAAAAAAAACTATATATCGAAGAAAATTCCTATATCAGTAGTCGTCAACAATTAGGTAATCTAGTTAATATTACCGTAATCTGTGATTATTCGCTGCGACGGAAAGTCATCTTTCATAATATAGAAATACACCAAGAAATTCCCAACTACGATTTTAGTTTATTTGAGTAACGATAATTAATTTTAACTAATAATAACAATTGTAACTAACGATTAAACTACTTGTTAAAAATAAGTAATAAATATTTTTGTTTTGTCACGGTTACTATGATGTTATAGCGTAATTGTATTAAAAATATGTCTAAAAATAGAAAAAATTGGAATACGCAAACTATTAAAAATATGTATATGACATACTTAATAAAAGATGAAGAGTTTTGCAAAATCTATCAGAAAAAATGAAAATATATAGGGTGTACTATTTAAAAAATTTGAGATTTTTTAATTTTAAGTAGTTGAAGTTCATAAATATTTTTTGAACATCCTGTAGCATTTATCTAAAATATCTTTACGTATATCTGTTTTTTCATCTCCGTAAAACTCTCACACCAAATTTTGGTATTCCAACTTCAGAAACAATGGTATCACTGACAATTTTTTACCACACTGCAATTTAACATTTGTTTAAACAAATTTAAATATTACAAAAACTACTCATTTTAGGTCTATAACATTATATATAAAAAAGTTGTGGAATTTTACGCGGAACCTAAAAATAAAATAAAAAATAGGGTGTTGCATTTAAAAAAACATATGTTATATCCGCCACACTTTTTTGAAGCACCCTGTATACTCTATAATATTTTTAAAATATGTATCTTAACCTTCCCTATAACTTTTATATTAAATATTTTTTGTAAACCCCGAAACAAATGAGATAATGGACTTTACTCTATCGTTGACTCGCCCTGTACAGTACAGTCGCTTCCTCGAGACATGTTCAAGTTCATATGTTAGACGTCCAGGAACCTTCATATGAGAACTTCGAATCGAAACGATCGACTTATTGTCAGTTTATCGCTAAGAAACCGTCGTTTATCAAATTTATAATAAATTGCACCTAAGGCACCTAATAATAAATTCCACGTTCATGTAAGTGAACGGACTGTAAGGAGGTTAAACTAAGCAAATCTTATCTCAAGAAGGCCTGTCTCGGGACTACAATTTACTAGGTCTGTTGACTAGGACCAAAAGTAAAAATTAATGTAAAAGTTACGAAAAAATGTCTCAAATCTACAACAAAAATAAAGCTATGGAGATGAAGCAAAAAACAAACTGTCGAGAAGATGTTTCAAACTTTGACCAAAATATCAACATTTTGTTTTCCCTTGTATAATTGACAGATGGGAATGTTCGTAATTAGTTTTGAAAGAGATACAAAATATATCTCTGTCAATTAGGTACTTTTTAATGTTTATTGACATTTAGTTGATTTTTTCAGGAGTTCTACTCATATGTAGGCTATTAGCCTCTTGCCTATTATCACACTATTATTATTATTTGAAGTTAATATTATGCCACAATGGTGCAGATGACTTATGGTACCTAAGTATATTAGGTATATGGTTTCCTACCTGGTAGTACTATTGACTCTTCTCACAGGTTGTATGGCGTTTCCTCTTCTGGAACATGCTTTCCTTAATTCTCCTTTTTCCAAAAGTTCTTGGTCGTAAGCGTGGGACAGAGATGCCAGACCTGAAACAAATCAACATTTTTCAACAATCAAAACTCTTTTTTTAAAGACAACATTTTTCCCTAGTTTTCCAAGTTAATTATTTATTCTAATTAGTTTAATATTAATTAAAAATGGACTCCGGCTGTATCTCAGATACAAATTAGTGGAAAAAGTTAAAAGTTTGTTAACTTTTTCTACCAATTGAAAATTACTACCGGAAATTTTGACGTTTGAACATTGAAATTAGAAAAGAAAGACATTTCTACGCTGAATGAAACTTTAACTTTAACTTTTTTTAGTCACTAATTTGTTGAAAAATTATACTTCAGATTTTTCGTAATTTTCAATTTTTATTCATACAGTCTGTTGCATCTGGACATAGGATATCCCATGTAAATTTTAAAAATAACGAATAAGTTTTCCCCACTTTACTGAAAAATGTATTTCAAACTTATTAAGGAACTCATTAAAATGAAGGAAATTGTGCATTTTGAATGATTTATACGAATTCGTTCTTGAGCTATGAGAGATTCAAACGTACTAAATTATCCAAAAAAATAATACGGTGCTGATCAGAATAAACAAACATGCCATCTTCAAATTCAACCTTTTAATATCAAATTGACTTTATTGTTACCAAAAATAATTTTAAAAGAAATCATTTTTTTTTGTAATATTCATTTTATACGTCTTAAATATAATTTATTAAATAGTTAAGCGGTAATATATGAAAAAAAAAGTCTACAGGCTCTAAAGGATTTATTTTCCAAATATGCCGAACAAGTTAATGGAAACTATAAATGTAAGAGATAAATTCCAACACAAACAGTTATTAAAGACTGATAAATATAAAAAGAAGATTAATATTGATGAGGATCCTGGAGAAATAATAAATGAAAGTGAATTAAAAATTCTGTAACAAGTGGAATATCAAAACCTAGAAAGTACCAGAATACTTGGAGAAATAGTCGAAAAACATCGTACCACTGCTTTGCGAATTTGAAGAAGCATAATTTTAAGTCATTTAAATATTCCAAACATCAAGAATTATTGGACGGGGTGTGAAGAACGTCGGCAATTTTTTTAATTATTAAGTACTTAATTTTGTGAATTGTTTAGGGTTTAATAAATTAATTATCTTCTTTCCATAGCAACTGTTAAAATTGTCTTATATCTATCAAAAATAGTAGATAAAATAAAACGAACTTTAACCGCAAAGGTAGATTAAATGATACTTTAACAGCGAAGATAGCTTAAAAACTTTATTTCTTCTCGCACGTTTTTCAATTTCTTCCATTTTTGAAAATTTTTGTATTCCTTTTCATAAGTTATTCGGGATTTAAATGGAAGTAGTTTGGATATGGCGTTTGTCGCCTCAGCCTGAATATCTGTTGGTAATTGACTTATTTCGTTTTGAGCCATTTCTGGCTCCAAGTCAATCAGCAATCGACACGAAAGAGAATTAAAAAATATTGACTCAAAACTGACAACTAAAGAGACAGCTTTATTTATTTGTCAAATTACATAGAAACCAACACCTACCCAGCACAATATTTTTTCTACTCGTAATAAATTCCTTGAAAAAATAATTTCTGAATATTTTTTCAAAGCGAGTTACGCTATGAAAAAAGATATTGTTTTATACACGACGATAAAATTGCATTATCGTTTCCCGAAATTAGTTCAAATACCATTTTATCGTCTTGTATAAAAAATAACTATTTGAAGCAAGTGTGTTTACTTATCTACGACTTACTACTTTTTGTAACTAATTATAGAGAATATAACTCATTATCTCCTATAACTCAAGAACGAATTCGTATAAATCATTCAGAATGAACAATTTGCTTCTTTATAAGGAGTTCTTTAAAAAGTTTCCAATACACTTTTTCTGCAAAATAAAGTAGAGAAAACTTATTCATCATTTTTAAAATTTACATGGGATTTACACGGTATAATAAAATAATGTAAAAATCCGTATTGATCTGTCTATATTTAAAAAAAGTCCTAAATATATCTCCATCCCCTTTGACATCAACGAACTCATTTATCTTTTAGTCGAATAACGAAACGACTAAGGGACAAACCACCCTTCGCACCCTATTCTTTGGGGTGCCTTTCTGCGTATCCTCGAGACTAGGTCACGGCGAAGGTCCAATTCTATCCCTTCACGCACCCTTACGCACCGTTTCAGGGCTGTTTCGCATCTTAAATTTCCTGCACTCCTGTTCGCTTTGCCCTTTCTGTCCTAATTTCCGACACCCTTGCGCAAGGTAAACCACAAGGCCATTCTCCAATGCCGAAAATCGTCAATAAACAGAATTTATGATTTTAAATATTTTTTTGTGAAAGCGTTACAAAATTGACAGTTTTTGATATTTATTTGAGATTCGAAATGACATTCTTTTAGGCACTAGTATCTAAAAGTACAAAATAAAACGTTAGAAACAATGAAAATATTTATTTATTATAAATCTTAAAGGTAACAATTATTTAAATTATTAAAGTGAATACAAGAGGCATCCAACTTTTCGTCTATAAGGGAAATGCAAGTTGTAGGAGTCGGAATAAGTAAATTTCTTGTACTGGCAATGCTGGTAGCTTTTGCTTCTACGTGAACTGCTTTTAACTTCTTATTTGGCGTATCTTTTTGTCCCATGATTCTTTTTGCCATTTCGGTTTTCTGTTCAATTGAATTTTCAATGTAACTGTCAGTAGCCGAGCTTGATCGCCTTAAAACTGTTATCATAGAACACACTAAAGAAGAACGCTAACTCCCATGCATTTTTTAGTTTCAAAACGGTTTCAAATTTGTAAAGAAATCTGTAATCTGTATATTGAAGTGGCGCCATCTAGCCACCCAGGAAAGTAACAAATGTGGCGGCAAATTTAAATAGCAATGCAATTTATTTTTAAGCAAGACGTATTGGTTTGTTCGCCAGTTAGAGCCAATCAGATTACTACAAAATAATGTGTAGTCATCTGATTGGTCCCAAGTTGGCAAACAAGTCAAATGGTAAAAAACAAGATTTATATATAAAGGTTAAACCAGGTTAAACTATTGTAAAGTATTAAATGGTTTGCTTATATCATTTTATGTGCATAAAAACCTACAATAAATAATTTATTTTAATTTACAGAAAATTATACCATGAAACATTTTGCAAACAAATAAAACAACAGATTAAAAAGTATAATATTTATTATAGTACCAGATTTAAGAACACATAACAAATATCGTTGGAATACAAGAGAAAGTGACGTCCATTAGAAACAATGTTTTATTTACATGTATTTTTTACATATGGATTTGAACAATTGTGTAATATCACATTGTGGAGTTTATGTACAAAAATATGGAGTTGATCAATTTTTTTTTTGTAAAAATATATGGCGTTGTAAATATTACATTGTTAAAAAATAAAATTCAGGAACATTTGGACTTGGTTAGGTTACCTCACCTCACTTTCTCGGATTATTAAATAAAATTGTTAAATAAATCAAAGACCTTTAACTTAAACCTTACCTTTAATAAAGACCTTAAAAATCAAACACAAAACAAAGTTCAAAAAAATTCAAAAATACAAAATCACGATTGTAAAATGAAGATTGCAAAAAACACAGCCAAACAACCAGAAAACAGCGAAACGCACATCTCCGTTCAATTGCAAAACACAACCGAAGAGGAAGGAGGAAGCCGGAAACGGAAAACTGATTTGACATACAGAACAATGACAGAACATAATTAATAGGCCTATTTAGGCAACTATAAAAACAATTTTGTACGCAATTGTTAGGCAACTAGAAAAATTAAAATAAAAATGCGCCATCTAGCGCCCCAGGAAATTACTACCCCAAAAAAAGATCGTTCAGGGTCGTATATCTCAGTTGACTGGCCCTGACTGTTATGTCCGCTCCTGAATCTGCCAGCATTGTTACAGGGCTGCGCCGGAAACAATGACCAGTGTACACGGAAAAAAAGCTAAACTGGCTTAAAGATTATTAATCTTGAACCAACGATATGCTAGTTTCCCCATTCCGCAAATCTAGTTATACTTCTTTTTAAGAAAACCTTATCCTTAGAAGCTAAGAAAATGTATCTTTTATTTAAGATTTACCTAGTATTGAAATTAAGATTATAACTACACTCCAGACAATTCGAGATAAAATCTTATTTCAAGTACTACTCATACTTATTTGTAAATTAACAAATGATTGCATTAAGTATAGAAATTCTTTGTGTACATGTAATAATTACTTTATTCAAGTGTAATATCACCTACTATAAAATAAAGCCTCTTCTTACTTTTAGGTTAGTTACTAGACGCGCCGACTAGGTAGTTTATAAAATTATAAAGTTTTTTTGTTATCGTTTGTGCTTGTGATATGTGAAAATGGAGCACCTTCTTCAGGCATAGGAGATGACGATTTGATCCCAAAATTTCAAGATAAGTTTAGCGATAATCCTACATTATTTGATGACATTGGTTGGAGGTTAGGGGGACTCCATTTTAATATGCATTATTTCTTATACACTGGTGGTAAACTAGGTATGTACGCGTTTGGAATGAATCAATTATGTTTTAACAATTTTTATTACTGTCTCTCGTTTTTAATTAGCGATGCCGCTGTCCAATATCTACAGTTTTATTGGGAAATTACACAGTTTTATTGTATTTTCTTATTACGAAAAGCATATAATTTGGTAGGTGATGTTTGGCTAATCTAATTTAAAAAGTATTAACCATATTCGGGGTTATTCTGGTAATATTTCAAAATTCCATACCTATTGTAAATGGAAATTAAGAAAAGATTTTACCAAAACAAGAGTTTCTAACAAGATCGAACCCGAACCTCCGAAAGCATAGGGAACACGTTACCGAATTTTGAATTAAGAACTATATAGTTTTTCGATCCCGGTTAATATTCGTGCTCAGAAAAACTAGTTTATCCTAAAATCGGGTTTGCCCGGTAACATACATGAATATAATAGAGTTGGGACATGCTAAAAATTTTAATT